TTCAGGTGACATTTTTGACAGGGCTTGTCATTTCTAACACAGCAAAGAAGTAGATTGTGGAGGTCTGAGGAGGACCACAGCTGCGAACCCTGGGTTTCTGTTACCACTGCACTGGCCATTTGCAAGTCTACGAGCAACTCCGCTCACCATTTGAAGACTCACAAGTTCTTATATAAAATATAGAGGTCTAGGGTTCAGTAAGTTAAGATTTCTTCCTGACTCTAAAGTTTTTCAGTTACTCATGTTTCTTTAGACCACAGACTGGTTTGCCCCACCTCCGACCCTGATAATCTCTCTTTGTCAAGTATGTGTGCTTGGAGAGAGCCAGGGGTCATACCTTTGTGTTCAAACCTTTCGTGTGCTGTGTTTTCCTGGAAGCTGCATATAGGATACTCATTGATGGGGAGCCCATGGGCTGGAGCTGGCCATGGGGTGGTAAACATCTTGGAACAAGCAGTGCTTTCAGGCTCACAGCCTTGGCAGGAGAGTCTGAAAAGTAATTCTTTGGAAGCTGGGGCCTGGTGGCAGCTGCTTCTCCTTAGCCTGCCTGCCAACCCTTACAGGAGCTTGGGATGGACAGAGTTCTCAGTGGGACCTACTGCAGCTGATTCTGGTAGTTTTCCACTCAGGGAAACTGGAGGAGTCCATCGGCGTCTCTGTCAGGAGATTGGTGGGTAGTAGACGCACCCGGAAACCACCAAGACAACTCAGCAAGCAAACTCTTTGCTGTAGCGACTCTTGCTTCCGGTGACAGGCTGCCCTCTTTACTTATGTGTTTCTTTACATCTCAAGATATGGAGTGAACAGGGAATGGGATCTGGTGAGAGAGGCGTGGGAATAAGGAAGGGGTCTGACATCGAGGGTTGGAGCCAGTGTTGCAGTCTGAGTCTTCCCTAGTAGCTGGGATCCCTTCCACCAGTTACCCAAAATAGGCACGTTCAATAGGAAAACCACAGTGGGGCTGCGGAGAAGTGCCACGTTGGGTTCCCTGGGCCAAGACTTCTTCTGCTTCCAAAGACCCAGTGGGATGAGAAAGGCCATCCAAGATCAGCTTGTCCTTTCCTTCTGCCCTTCCTGTGGGGCCCCTGGTAACACTGAGTCACGGAGAAATCCTGCTTGCATGTTACACTGCTACTTTACTAGCGTTTGTCTCTGAATTCCCTGTTTCCAACCTTATGTTCTTTGGTTCCGATTTCTAGATCCCTAGTCTAACTCCCATTGCCTGAAGTTGAATGAACCTTAGTCCCTTCTTATCAGTGGCTTTGATTTCCTTGGTTTCAGTTGTCTGTAGCCAAACATAGTCTGAAAATGAGAAATGGACAAAGTCTGAACTTATTCACAAATTTTAAATGTAGGGATTGGGACTCACATGATGAAATCCCGACTCCTCTCCCTCCCTCACACCCAGTGTCTGTCGCTTCCCTCACTCCATCTCCTTATATAAAACACAGCCTCATCTTGAGAGTAGTGAGTGCGGTTGGGTAAGGTGGAAGAGGGCATGGAGAGACGGCTCAGAGGTTCAGAGACTATGCTGTGCCTCAGGAAGATCTCTGTTCAGATCCTCGAACCCATATAGTAAGCAGGGCATCCCACAGCTGTCTGTAGCTGTAGCTCAGAGGGATTAGCTACCTCTTTCAGACCTCAGTGCATACGAGTCCATGTACCTGCATACACATGTGTGCATACACGTTCTATTTTAATATTTGTTCTATTTTAATATTAATTACTATTTATCTCTTGCTATGCTTAATTTCTAAGTTAAACTTTAATATATATATATATATATATATCAATAGATATCAATATATCAACATGTATAGGGCTTGGTACTTTCAGCTCTTTAAGTCATCCATTGGAAAATATTCTGTCCCAATAAACTTGGGGCCCAGCATTTGCTCTGGCACTGATCTGAAGGTTTACATCTCAGCACAGAAGATTCTTACCATCCCTCAGGTCTATCTATAGTCCCTGGACCCTCATGAAAACTCCAGAAAATCTTCCTAATGGATCTTGGTGACTCGTTATCCAGTAGCACTGACTAAGACCTGCACTTTTCTTCCTCTCCTACCGGTGGCTCACCCCCTCTCATGAACTTTGACCCTGCCCGCCAAGAGGCTTCTGGGCAAGCTGCTGTGTCACAAAAACTTGTTGAACTCCACAGGTGGTGACTCGCTTGGGAGGTTCTGAGCCCGAAATTAATCCTCCACTGCGCTCCAAGATCTAACGTGCAGTTCAATCTCCATTTTTCCGCCCGGGCCTTTGTCCTTCCACCCATCTACCTGTCTCTCCACCTTTTCATGCCTACCTGTGTGCCCAGTGTCTGCTGAACACCTGAGCAGTGCTGTGTGCTGGCAGGTGTTGAAAGGGGCAAGGAACGCACCATGATCACTAAGTCTCAACAAGGAGACCCAGAGGTGCAAGGGCTGTAGAAAAATCCATGATGAAAGTTATTTCTTAAAAGAATCTCTGTCGGGTTTATCCTGACAGCAAATTTTAGTGTTTTTGATAACTCCGTCAGAGTCAGAGACGGTTTAGAGCAACCGTCAAGTAGGCGAGCAACTTGTATCCATTTGATTTCTGAACACTTTCATCTTCCCTTTGTGCCCTGGACCAGAAGGGAGGTCTATGAGAGAAACCCTTTCCTGTGTCTTCTTTACTACTCAGCAGCTATCTACATATAAGGACATCGTTACGGAGACATCTGTTAGCTCAACACATGAACAGATAGCCGTAAGGTAAGCGATGGTCAGACTTACAGGGAAGCCTGTTCTATTTGGTGTCAGTGTGCACAATGTGACTCAAGGTTTCCCTTGGCAGAATCCCCAGGACTTTGTCTGTAAGCCTCTGGGAAGGACTCAGCGGTCCTCTGACGACTCACAGTGGAGTCTATGTGGTCTTTCTCTGTTGCTTTCCCATCTGCCTGTCAGACAGACTTCAGATCCCTATTACTTCATTTTCTTTATCCGTTCAATAGGGGAAAATTCTTGCATGGAGTCAATTAGGATATGACATAAAAAGGATTTCCAGGAAATACAGTCCTACTGAGACATGTTGTAGAGGCAGTGGCAGCTTAAAATGTCTTGGTTATTGTCCCAAGGACCAGCATTCCCCGTGGTGGGAAGTTATTTATGACATTTTCATGACTCACCTTGTTGGCTCTTCTTTCCCAGTGTCTGGCTTACCTCACATATCCCAGAGCACAGAGGTTCTCATGATGTGTACAGCCCAGCATCTGGAGATGTATGATGGATGGGACTGAAAGCCTACTGACTGGGGATGTTCTATTCTGTGGCTGCCAGCAGGGCCCCTAGCATTGTTCTCTGTCCAGGAGGGATGGGATCTGGGAGCAGAGCTCTGAGCCCAGTCTCACAGAAGACTAATTCCGGATCTCTATCAACATGCAGTTCTCGGATTCAGCTTCAGATACGCTAGAGTTAAGATCTAAGGTCTTCAAATGTAGGCCACATCTTGAAATAGGCAGAGGGCCAAATGGAACAGATAAAGCAAAGGCGGCACTAGCTCTTGCTCTCAGTTTGACTTTGCCTTTCTTGGGCAGGTGCCCTTTTTGTTATCAGTTGTTGAGATCAGAATTCAGGTTATTCAGGCTTTGGATGCAAGGGGTTTCCAGGCCGTCAGCCTCTGATGGGAGCTGCATCACTAGACTCTTCTGCCAAGGCTTTACTGTCCTGAGACTTACACTGAGCAACCCCTAGTTCCTTTTCCTCTGCTGTCTGTAGATGGTCATTGAGGGACATTTCTGCCTTTGATCCTGTAAGCCAGTCTAACAAACCCCCATGTTTGTGGTTTTTTTATGTACAGTGTAAGGGTCAATTTCACTCTTGGGCATGTGGATGTACATGTGGATGTGCAAACACATTGGTTTGCTATTCTCCCCCATACATTTTTTTGGTACCTATGTTGAAGACCAATTGACCTTATATGTGTGAGATTACTTATATATTATATATATTCACTAGGCTATTTTAATTATTATGGCTCTGGGATATGTTTTAAAATCTATATTCCTAACATGTCCAAGTCTGTTCTTTAGTAAGAATGCTTTAGTTTTTACAAGGCCATTTGTGGTTTCATATGAATCTTATGATTAAAAAAAAATATTTAGGGAAAAATACTGTTGAAAATCAGTTCTTTCTCTTCCCTCCTCATAATGGTTCCCTTCCCCTGCTTTATATACCTCACCTTTTTTGTTGTGTTCCACCGTGTAGAACACAGTGACTTCAAAGTATTCAAATATTACTTGCTTTGTCTTTCTAAGTCAGGAAGTTCCCACAGTGCGTTCTCACCCCCTGCTGTAAGTGGGCGCTGTCAGAGCAGTAGCCAGCTCCTCTGTTGCGCTCTTCCTTGCTTACCAGCGCTCAGATATGGCGGTCCATTCATCTGGTCCTCATTGTGTGAAAGCTGTCTTATTTTCCACAGGGAATTTCATATGTTTTATTTTATTCTCTTTGTTGAAAGTGAAGCCCACCCCTAAAACTATTGTTTTAAGTCAGGGCCCAGACTGCTCAGTGCAAACATGGCGCAGGCAGTTCACGGGTTTGTTTCATAATCTCAGACAGTCGGTGCCCCAGAAAACCAGATGCTGTGGATCTTAGGGGTATCTGATGGCTACAAGGAAACTAGTACTTGTAGGAAATCGATTCAATATGTAAATCTGCTATTAAGGAACTAAAGATGGGCTACTGGGGTTATTACTCAATAAAATAAGAGCGTTCATATTAAATTATATCACATTAGTTGCTAGAGTCTGGGCTGAAATGTAAGCCTGGCTGTTGGATAGATTTTGGAGGTATAAAAAGTATTTGAATTAGGGTCAGGAAGAAATTCTGTAGCACAGAGTGGCCGAAGTGGGGCCATAGAGAGATGGAGGAAGATTTCAGTTCTTCTATTTCCTACCCTGTCACTAGTTTCAACCTTCCTGGGGGCTCTGGCATAAAAAATGGAAACATATTCTCTGTTTTCTCTTTGTTTCTTTCGTCCAGCTTCATGTCGCTATCCTCTGGGCATGTCAGGAGGCCACATTCCAGACGAGGACATCACAGCTTCAAGTCAGTGGTCAGAATCCACGGCTGCCAGATATGGGAGGTGAGGATGGCTCCATCAGGAGAGCCTGAACGCTGGGGGAAATGGACACATAGCCATGGCTTGAGGGATGGTGCTGGTGAGCGCTCGTGAGATTGGAAGAGAGATGTGAGGGGCTTATGCTGCTTGGAATGTTTCAGAGGGAGGCCAGGCCTTGGCTGTAGTTGCTGGCCTGGAAGCCTCTTCCTAACCACAGCAGCCTCAGAGCCACGCCACCCACTGTGAATGGGGTCATTGATAGGCAGTGGATTTGCTTTTCCTGACCTCACTGCGGGCTGCTGCGGGAGAAAGGCCAAGGCTGAAGGTCCCGGGAGATGTAGATTATGTAGGACACTGGCCGTGAGGGAGCCGGCTTCTCAAGAGGCACCTGGAATGTGACTGTGCAGGGCTTTTACGGTTAAATCAGACTCTGAGGTTTCCAGTAAGTTCTTTCCTCCCTCAAGGAAACCTCACACAGGAGGACCATCCTCATCTATAAACAGAGCATATTCTGTGTGGTGTATGTATTTCCCAAGGTTCCCTAAATGAACAGACTCCCAACTCAGAGACAATTCTGCAGGCCAATGCCTGCTCTTCCTGATAATTATTTTGGTGTCAATTTCGTACCAATTTTGTTAAAATGGAATCACCCACAAGGAAATCAAACTTCCTAGGCCTTCCTCATCGTATTTATCTTAGTATCTGAATGACTGGGGTGATGACTGGAGGAGTTAGGGAGAAGCAAGAAGTGAGTGGGTAGCATCTATGAGGAAAGGAAGCCCTCCCAGGAAGAGGGAAAATGATAAGAGGTTCCCAAATAAACCTGATAGTGATTTCGCAATGGTGTTCAGTGCTAGCCCAGCCTGGCGGTAATAAACAAAACCAGGTTATTGACCACTTCGTTTGCATGCTTTCTGCCCTCACACTCACCTTCACCACGGCTCCCATGGCTTTTTCTGGGTGGCCAGGCCCATCCTGCTGCCTAGCATTCCACTGAGTTGCATAGTCCACACCGGAGACCCTCTGTTCCTTCCTCCTCACTCCCTTAACTTGATACCCAGACCACGAACGGCCAGCTTTGTGAGGTTGAGGCTGAGAACGGAAGGGGGATGGTGAAGGAACTCCATAAGGGAACAGGGGTGGCAAGAGTTTCATTTCCCAAGAGTTCTCTAAACTCCAAAGGTTACATGTGTTTTGGAAGCCCCCAGCTCCCTTGTGGTGACATTCCCTGGGTTGCGTGGTGCTTCGGAGACAGGAAACCGACCACAAATGGGAATGGTTAGGCTAGACAGACACATGGGGAGGTCCTCAAAGTCCCGCTGGACTAGATTGCCGCTTTCTGCTCGCTCCTCGGGCGCAGGACAGCCGCTTGCTATGAGCTGGTGAGCGACGCTTATCCTACAGTTGTTCTGTTTGCCTTACCCTTCCTGCTCAAGGCTTGACTCTGAAGAAGGAGACGGAGCCTGGTGCCCAGAGATCCCCGTGCAACCTGATGACCTAAAAGAATTTCTGCAGATTGACTTACGTACCCTGCACTTTATCACTCTTGTGGGGACCCAGGGACGCCATGCAGGGGGTCATGGCATCGAGTTTGCGCCCATGTACAAGATCAACTACAGTCGAGACGGCACTCGCTGGATCTCCTGGCGCAACCGACATGGAGAGCAGGTAAGAAGAAAATGCCCACGTTCTGAGGGAGCATATGTTTAATTGTAATAGAACCACGCATACGGACTATGTGCTCAGTTATGTGTATGTTCAAACCTGACATGCCATTGTAAATGTGACCAAAGGTGCGGGAGATGGCACAGAGGGTCTATTCGCTCCGCTGGGAGAGTTGAGCAAATATACTTTCCATGAGTGAAGTGCGAAGGCTCCATCAAATGCATGATGGGTAAAGACGAATGTGGATTTATGCTACCTCTGCTATTTCCTTTCTCTCTCCTAGGTGCTAGACGGAAACAGTAACCCGTATGATGTTTTCCTGAAGGACTTGGAGCCGCCCATTGTAGCCAGATTTGTCCGCCTTATCCCAGTCACTGACCACTCCATGAATGTGTGCATGAGGGTTGAGCTTTATGGTTGTGTCTGGCTAGGTAAGAAGCTGCGCAGATCGTATGCCCCATATGGAAACTCCCAAGGCCTGGGAACTGAAGACCGGCCCTCAACTCAGAAAGGGCTGGAGTCGTTCATCCTTGGAATGAAATGATTCCCCCTTGGTAAAAAGAGAAAAATAAGGCATGCAATCCATCCAGGGTTTGGTGTCCTGGTGCCTGGAATGACACATTCAGAATTACTCAGGTAACTGCCCCTGAGGTGGGCTTCTAACAGTGCTCAACTATGAGCCCAAACTGAGCCCCAGTGGGCATGATGCATAAGCTTGTGCACCCCTGAAAGCCCAAGTAGCTTCTTGGGGCACCTGGTCAAGCGGCAGAGACACTGACAACTGCATTTCCTTTGACAGATGGTTTGGTGTCTTACAATGCTCCAGCTGGGCAGCAGTTTGTACTCCCTGGAGGCTCCATCATTTATCTGAATGATTCTGTCTATGATGGAGCTGTTGGCTACAGGTAAAGTCCAGAAGACTGAAACAATCACATGAATGGGGAAAATGGCCATAGCAAAAAATTATTGTGATATAGTCAGCAATCGACAAATCAGTCAACCTACCAGTATTATGTCCATGAGTGATGCACCGTGAGACAGTTGAGATGGGGCAAGCCGTGAGGTACTTGCATCTCCAATTTGTAGCTTTCTTTTGCAAAGCATTAATAATAATAATAATAAATAACAATAATAATAAATAATACAGTAGACAGGAAGAAATTACACAAATCAAGAGCTAAACTTTGTGACATGGCTATAAATGTGGGAGCGATATTTTTTGACCCAGAAATGAGGATGTATGTTCCCACATGAAAGCTCATTTAGTTACAGAGATAAAGTCATAAGTCACAGAGTTAAGAAACAATGGACTTCATAGATACAACACGTTAGAAGCTGTGAGAAGAAAAACTATTCTGCTAGGGTTTATAATACATAACGAGAGCTCTCAGGATAAGATGGTAATGGAAGCAGGGAAAGGTAGGTAGAAGGGTGCAGAGAAAACAGTAGAGGATGATGTTGGTCTGATTATGGCAAGAGATGGAGCTGGGAGCAGCAGAGAAGCCTGAAGCAGATGGATGGAGAGCTGGGGCAGAAAGATATCTCTAGACACATGGGGGTTTAGAGCTGGGTAAGACACATGCCTATCCATTCTCATCCCTCATTATATTCTTCTGACCCATTCCTAACACTGTTCTTTCTTAGTTTAGTCTTTATCAGCAAGGACTGAGCCTGGAAGAGAGGTCAGAATATTGTGAAGTTCAGAGCAGACAATACAAGTTTCTAGGGCATGAGAAAGAAGTGTTAGTGCATAGTGCATCTCAGGAAGCATATTGTAGAATTACAGCCGTTCTACTAGCTTAGGTGAGGAGAATGAACTATCATCCTCAGCTGCCAGTTCCTGGGGAAGTCCTGATGAATGCGGTCGTCTGTTCCTACTTATATCCACCTAGTCATTCACTTCTCCTCCACTCTCTTGCAGCATCTTGACATCATCAGTCACACCCTAACTAGTGTATATTCAAGGGGCATGGGAAATGAGATAATCAGTTGAATCTAAGTTCAACCAATCTTTGCTAGTCAGTTGTTATGATGGGCGAAGAAGTTGCCTAGGTGTTGTAGGTATTCAAAGAAAATGGAAACGGGTCTTGCTTTTGAGGCATTCACAGTTTGGGACAGAGGCTACATAAGAAGATTGATTACTCTATGCATTAGTTACTTTTTTCACTGCTGTGGCCAAATATCCGACGATAAACAACTTGGGGAAGAAGGCTCTATTTTAGTTCACAGTCCATCGGCAGGAGAAGGTGCAGCGTGGCAATGTTCTTGGTGGTGGTGGGAACTTGAATGCCAGGACCAGGACTAGTGAGAAGGAGATCAAGAAGAGGGAGGATGAGTAGGGAGAGGAGTTTTTCTTCTTAGCATCTTCAATACAATGATTCATTGAAGAGTCCTAATGTTGGGGAAGGACATGATTGGAGTTGTGCTTTAGACAGATCAACCAGGCAGGTGGCAAAGATTAGATTTGAGTCTGATGAGAAAGTAGTGAGGTAGATCTTTAAATCCCAGATTCCCCCAGGTAGAATGAATAGGCAAGGCCAGATTGACAATCTTAGGAACAAGGAAAGGAAGAAATAGTCATTTTGAAGATTATAAGTATCCAATCAAATTAATACTGTTCTAATGATCTATTCCTTTGAATCAGTGGAGAGGTCAAATTTCACATAAGCAAATGGTATAAAATAGCCAATGTTTGCTACATGGACAGTAAACCTTTTAAGAGCTGGCTTATTAGTTTATATATAAAAAAACTTCTGTTATGTATTGTGCTCTTGTCTACACTTCTAGCCAAAGATGGTGTCTTGATATAATGATTTACTATTATCAAAGACTACATGATTCAGAAAAAGAAGTCCCAAGTATAAAATGATTGCTTTCTCCAAATCCTTCCGTCTCTAACATTATCTATCATCTCTTGCAAAATCCGGTGGTGAAGCAGTGGCGGGGGGGAGAGTTCTTCTGTGGGTGCATGAGTAACTCTGGGCTCCCCTCTTCTCTCCTCTTCCGTTGGCCTGAGCAGCATGACTGAAGGGCTAGGCCAGTTGACCGATGGGGTATCCGGCCTGGATGACTTCACCCAGACCCACGAATACCACGTGTGGCCTGGCTATGACTACGTGGGTTGGCGGAATGAGAGTGCTACCAATGGCTACATTGAGATCATGTTTGAATTTGACCGAATCAGGAACTTTACTACTATGAAGGTCAGTGGAGTTAGGCGTCATAGATTTTCCTAAGGAAATTCAAAATTATAGTGGGTGTGGGGTGGCGGGGAGGAAGGGATTTTTGATGAGCCTTGAACTGATGTCAACAGAATTAGATTTTAAAATATATTCCACTATTACAAGTATACGTGAATTCAGAATCACATTGTTTTTCTTCTCATAACAAAATTCTTCATTGATTCTTTTGGAATTTCACAACATGTGTTCCAAATCTGCTCACCTATTAGTCCCTCCATGTCTGTCTCCACACCTACAGCATCCCCCCAAAAAACCCCCAAATTAATTAAAAACTAGATAAAACAAACAAAATCCCTCTGCATTCCTCTATCCTTCCTGCCTCTTCAACACCTCTTCACCCATCCCAGTGGCATTGGGAGCTGTGGCATATCACACAGCACACCCTTTTGTCCAATCAGCCCCACCCAGGATGTTCATAGCGATGAGTCATTGGTCTGACTCAAGGCCTCTGACATACTATCACTGCTGGACCCTCATGGAAACTCCTCTCGGACATTCTGCTGTTGACCTGGTCATGGAGATCCTGCAGCTATTGTTCCGCAGAACCAGTCCCTTCACATGCTCCATTAGGTCATAGACAGGGTGAATGGGGACTTAGGATGGGCCAACCCAAGGCCCAGGATGTGGTTCTGGTTGGTAGCTGAGCTGGTCAGTCTGGGCTGCCAGAACAGCCATCTCAGGTAAGGGGCAAAACCAATTCTCTCATGCCCATGGTGAGGGGTGAGGCCATCTCTCCTGAGTGTGGGAATGTGGAGGCAGCTCTCCCATGAGGGGTGGGACAAGCTCTCCTGCTGCAGTGTCCAGTGAGGGGCAGGGCAAGCTCAGTATGGCCCTTGGATTTCAACACAAATGGATGAATGTATCCTATGGTCCCCTGTGTAACATACACCATGGACGTCAACACAGACCCCAGTTGCGGTAGGACCGCAGACCCAGCCCAGGGCCGATGTCACCCTGGCCCGCGCTGGCAAGTAGGCCGCTCACAGTAGCCTGCTTCTCAACACGTTTGCCTTTTCGGCTCTGCCTCTTTCCACAATAAATGGACCATTCTGCTTTCCTTTCTATTTCTCCACCTTATGTTTGCTCATCATAACGGCACCTACCCCCACATCCCCCTGTGGCACTGGGGGTGGGACAGGGGTGGGGTGTTGGGGGGGAGGTGGGGAAGTTGGTGGGGGTGCGGGCAGGGGGGGGGGGGAGCCGGCTGTGGATGTTTTCAGCCTGCTGGGGACTGTGAGGACCCCAGATGGCCTGTGTTGAATTTCAGCCGCCTGGGCCAAGTAACCGAGTCACGTTATTTTTTAAGGTCGTTTCTTCATTGGTTAATTCTGGGGTAGGCTAGGTTAGGCCCGTTATTATTGATTTACTACCGCTCTCCCTTCCTCCCTTCCTAGCGCCAGAGCCAAATATTGTTATTTAATTAGGCATAGAAACAGTTATTTCATCAGTGCATTACAATAGAACAGTTAAGTGGAAATTGGTGACTGACTATTGCTGCCTGGTTGGGTGGAAGCCAAAGGCTTGGCAAAGGCTGCCCCAGAGGCTGCCATGTAATGGACCATAGCAAATATACAAAGGCTTGGCAAAGGCTGCCCTAGAGGCCGCCATGTAATGGACCATAGCAAATATGAATACATGAAGAGATCCAAAGAAGGAAACGTGAGGCCCAGGTTTTACTTTCTCTGAAGTAAGACCCCACCAGCAAGCCGAAGCTTGTTGATGCCGTTGGTAATGTCTTTGTTATAATATCAAGTGTTTCCTGGTATGTGGATTAAATCCTTTTCCTCCCCTTCCCTCATTCCGTCCCAGGTCTGCTTTAGAGAGAAAGAGGGCCAGAAAAAAAAAAGAAAAGAAAAGAAAAAAAAAGTCATGCAAAAAGCAACCAGATTGGGTGTTAAATCTGAATTCTAAGGCTAGGGAAAAGTAGGAGCGAGGGTGTGGAGGAAAGTCCTTGTGTTTAGTGTAAGGTGAGGCTGCAGGTCTTATATGGTTTGTGCACAACTCTTTGTCACCTATGAAAGCACAAAAGGGAACCTCACTAAAAGCCTCAGGAAAGGGTGGGCAAATCAATTTGGCCTTCCACATGAATATTCATGTATCTGATCTTTCTCCATGTTGATATTCACGTGCAAAGTATTAATAATCAGCAAATTTGGTAACTCTTACTCAGTATCTAGTCTTCAGTCTGTATATGCTTCTTGAGTTAAGTGGAAAATATATTAATTATATTATGTATTATATAATTAAATTTCATCTGTTCATCTGTGTTTGTTATGGTTTCACAACTATATTTGGGGAATAATATGCTAGATTCTAAGTAAAGAATATTCCCTATCTTGGGCCACATTGGTCCCAAGGTCAGTAGGAAAGGCAATATTAATTTGCAAAAGAATGTATGCAGGGTCATATGGGACCAAGAAGAAGAAAATATGTATCATCAGTTATCATTAAACATTTCACCTAAATCAAAGTTGTTATTCCTTACATAAACTAAATTTTAAAAATGCATGCCTTCTATATTACTTTCAGATACTAACGGATAATATCTCTTACGTGGGTTAACAGTTATTCATTACATGACCATTTAAGAGCAGACCAGAAGGAACAACATACGCCCACTCTGTTGACTAGTTGTTGGAGGATCTTTAGCCATCATAAAACATAAGTGTTTGCAATTACATGTAACACATTATTCTTCAGAGATTTTTGTAGATGGGAAGTAGAGAGAGGCAAAAGGAAGGAATATGGACAGCAACAAAAATATGCTGTAAGAGAAATATTTTCAGTATTTGTCCTTAATGTACCTGTGAACACACACAGAAACTCACAAGTCTACATATCCCAGGGAGAATTTGTAATTTAACTAATAATTAAATGAATTTTAAATTATCCATGAAGTTATAATATTTCATCAGGAAAATCTGATCTTCCTGAATCTCCAGGATTCTTCTCAGCTAGTTTATCTCAGATCAAAATGATTCCAGAGCTTAAATTAAGAAACCAGAAATTCCTAAGGAGTAGCTTCAGGGCCATCTTCTCAGGCAACCAGATCCCCCACGAGTTTTAACTTTTCTGGCAAAAAAGGTAGAAGACGACTACCAGGGCACTGATATCTTTTATAGACCAGGTTTCTTTCTGAGGCGAAGTATTCTTTATTTCTTGCTTTGAAGAATGGTTAAAGTATACTGTTAAAGCTTATTCATGCATCCAAAGTATATTGTTTTAATAAATAAATATGCAAGCCCACATGGAATGAAATCCTATGCTATTTATTTGCATTCCAGAAGAATTCTTGAAACATCTGTAGGAAAGATTATTACCTTCCCTGCAGGGTACTTACCCAACACTTTGCAGATTTCAGAACATCTGAAAAACCTATTGAAGCTGGAGAAGATATTTCTTTGATTTATTTATTTTTTTGCTCTTAGCCTTACTCTGTTGACGTGGGGGCCAATAGACTAGGATGTTTATTTCACTCAAGGAAGATATTAACCCATGTGTTCATCAATAAAACTTGTGGAGGAAAAAAAATCCAAATGGAAAAGTTAAGGAGGCGTCTCTATTTCTCTGCGGTATGACACACAAAATGGCATTGGGGTAGATGTCCAGGGCTCCATGTCCAGCTGTGTGGGTTGACCATAGGTCAGGAGAGCGTGTGTGTATGTGTGTCTCGTCAGCACACATACTTAGGCTCGAAGATTTTTGTACCCGCTAGTAGCTCTTGTGATCTACCCTTAGAACATCTCTGGTCCAGTCATGTGTTCTTACGTCATTTCCTTGTTTATTTAAAAATGAACTCAGCCTGGTAGTCCTCCACTGACGTACCACTCAGGGCCTAAGCAGCCATTAAAACAGAAACAGGATATAAGGTCCATGAATGGCATTCAGGCCTTTCCAACCCGTGAAGCTCTTGAGGGACAATGGTCAGCAAGGTCTGTTTTCCCTGTGAGACCGAGCCAGAGGAGATGAAACTGAGCTGCTGTAGGAACCCGAGTGAGTTGCAAATGTACACATTACATGTTTTGTGGGTTGTTGGACTGCTGTGGAATTTTTGCTCTTGATGACGTCACAAGCCTAACAAACATCCCACTGAAAGAGTCAGGGGTCAGAAGAGTGGATGGCAGCTACCTTCTAATTGACTTTTTGTCTCATCTCAGAAATCACCAGTGAGAAAGATTTGATTCTCCCATCTGAATGGTTTTACTTAAACTGAATTTGCTTTAGTCTGTGTCTCTGACTGAAAGTGCCAATCCATGTATGCGAAGTTAGATTTCCGCAAAGAAAGATGAAATTGTACTTGTTTGCATATGATTTTCTCTTAAGTTTCCCACATACCCTACCTGAAAAGGAAAGGTCTGGCTTTGGAAGGTACCGGGGAGGAAGAAGGGTGCCATGTTGGCTCACCATCTCAGATCAGAATAGCTCAAATGTGGGCAGAGAGCAAGCATGATCGAGAAGGTTGCAGAGCCAGGAGAATTCCTGTGAATGACAGACTTGGGACGATGCTGATCTTGTCTTCCCATAGCAGCTGAGGACACTGCAACCTGGCACACAGTTGCAAAGTGAAAATGGGTACAGCATTCTAGGTGTTAGGGGCCCAGTATGGTTCTGCTGAGCGACTCTGCTGACGTCATCCTAGGTTTCATAAGGACTGAACTGAGCTGGGTGTCATTGCCACTATCCAGAAGACTGAACTACAGGTAGTATTCAGAGAAATAGGCAGGTCTAGGTGTTTCCTGGGCGAGTTAGGCTGTTTTCCTGTGCAACCCAGTGGGGCTAGCCTGTGTCTCACATGTCCCTCTCTCGGTCAGGTCCATTGCAACAACATGTTTGCTAAAGGTGTGAAGATCTTTAAGGAGGTCCAGTGTTACTTCCGCTCAGAAGCCAGTGAGTGGGAGCCCACGGCCGTCTCCTTTCCCCTCGTCCTGGATGATGTGAACCCCAGTGCTCGGTTTGTCACGGTGCCTCTCCACCACCGAATGGCTAGTGCCATCAAATGCCAGTACCACTTTGCCGACACATGGATGATGTTCAGCGAGATCACTTTCCAGTCAGGTAGGAAACCTTGGTCCCCACGTGGAGGAGAGTGGGTGGATGCAAGACGTGGGAAGGGCATCCAAGCTGCTTCCTGGAAGGTCTCTGGAGGGGTGGGGTTACCAGGCGCCTCACAGTTTCTTGGAAAAAGAGAAGCCTTTCCAGTTTTAATTTATGTAGTTATAAGGAATGAGAGTGGGGCAGTACAAACTTTATTAGACTCTTTTACACATTGGTCTAGAAGAGATTTATGTCAAAGAATTTAAAAAATGATAATAAAATGTGCCAAAAATGTTACAAATAACTAATTACAAATTAAGACTCTCTCTCTCTCTCTCTCTCTCTCTCTCTCTCTCTCTCTCTCTCTCTCTCTCTTTCTGGTTTTTCAAGACAGGGTTTCTCTGTAGCTTTGGAGCCTGTCCTGGAACTAGCTCTTGTAGACCAGGCTGGCCTCAAACTCACAGAGATCCGCCTGCCTCTGCCTCTCAAGTGCTGGGATTAAAGACGTGTGCCACAACCGCCCGGCTCAAATTAAGACTCTTAATAGAAAGCATTTAAGTACTATCAAAGTATTCACATGAAAATCTCTAACCATTATGTACAAAAGTAAAGAGAACAATGAATTTCCTTCCATCTCTCACCTTTATTACTAGTCTTTCATCACCTTTATTCATTTTTGCTGTAGTATTTGAAAGAAAATCTAAAACATATTTTGGTTTATTACTAGCATTTTGAAATGCATCTAAGAAAATACTCCTTTGAGTATAATGTCATTATAACCACTCACAACATTTATCAGTAAATTCTCAACATGACTATATCATCCTCAAGCAAAAGAAGAGCTCACAGAAACCCTCCACTATACTAAACCTTGAAAAGCTAAAGGGAGTTTATGACCTTGTCCATGACATTCAATTTAATTTGGAAAATACAAATCTATTAAATGACTTTTCAGAAAAAAATCCAAAACCAAGTATAAGCAATCAGGAAGAGAAGGCCATAAAACCAAGGACTTGTCATGAATAGTGGCAAAGGCGCGCGAGTTACATTAGGCCTGGAAGAAAAACATAGGCATAGAATCAGATGATAGAGAAGAAGAGGGTAACTTAGCCATGCTTTAGAAGGGAATATCCTTTCTGGCTTGATATTATTTCTAAAGAAGAAATTTTCAAGATGGTTCATTTGTTAGACTATACTAATAGGGAAAGTGTGTGTGTGTGTGTGTGTGTGTGTGTGTGTGTATTTAGAAAACAGCCTTAGTTTCTACATTATATTAGTGCCAATGATGTAACTGAAAAGCAAACATACTAATTATTTAATTTATTCATAGCATAAATTTGTATGCCCAAAAGAAGTGGTTCTTTTCTTGTAATAATGATCGAAGGGACAAACAGATACCCACTGTCCTTGGAAATACTCTGGGTAAACACACAGATATTCACCTGCCCTTGGGTAATTTTTTGGCAGAGTAATTGATGTATTTGTCTTAACTTGGACAAGCAAAGCTTGGATTATGCTTTTGATTCCTGGGAATCTGTTGCGCTTCAAATCCTATGTCTTGATAATGTCAGTTTTTCTAGATCCTTGAGGACCTAATTTAACAAGTATGGTTGACACCAGAAGCTGTCTAATAATGGCAAAAAGAAAAATTAGGATTTGTTGAAGGAATGCCTTGTAGAAGAGAAATTCATATTTTAATTCTTGACAAATCAGAGATAAAATTTAGTTGCCACCATCAGTATGGAGAACCCACTTTGGAGTCTGTTCTTTAAAGCTACAGCATCACATTAAAGGATACTGCAAAGCAGATTTTCTGTCTTTAGGGATGAATGAAGCCTTAAGTTGAGAGTCAGGGCAATGAAGCACAGTGAAAATCCCTTTAGAAAATCATTTCAATTCTTTGAAGAAAGGAATGCTTTTGTACTAAGTCTACTCCTTGCCCGTGTATTCACTCAGTTCTCCTATGTATTGTTGAATTTAGGTCCTCTTCTCCATGCACCCCCATTTTATGATGATCTATGACCACAGCCCTCTGAAATGCCAAGTGTTAACATTTTATACTGCCACAGTATCTAATATTTGCAACAATTTTGGTTTTTGCACCCGAAAATTTGCCTTTACTTGTACAGATTGTTATATTTTATTAACTCTATGTGTGGCTTCATTTTTATTTTGTTTCTAATTGACATATTTTTGGGGTTACAGTGTAATGAGCTAATACATGTATTGCCTGGATACATGTTTTCAGGATATCTTCATTTTAAAAAATCACTATTGCCAGGCAGTGGTGGTGCATGACTTTCATCCCAGCACTTGGGAGGCAGAGGCAGGTGGATCTCTGTGAGTTCAAGGCCGGTCTGGTCTACAAGAGTTAGTTCCAGGATAGACTCCAAAACTACAGAGAAACCCTGTCTCAACCCCCCCCCCACCACCAAATCACTATTAGTCACCCACTAAATTGATTTTTCAGTGTGCAAGGTCTCAGGCTACCTTCAGATTAGCCATTGCCTGCCTGGCTGTTTGCTCCAAGCTCTAATTCACTCTTCCTCTATAACAGATACTGCAATGTATAACAATTCCGGAGCCTTGCCCACCTCTCCTATGGCACCTACAACCTATGGTACGTATGATTGTTAATAATTAAATATTAAATTGAAGGCACCTCCTGCAAGATAAAGAAGGATCGAAATTGCAAAGACCTCACTGCGAGTGGCTTGATTCCATCCATGTGCTAAAGGAAGAATAGTCCACCCCCAAAGTGAAGGGTCCATAGTTACTCTCATTTCTGACCATTCGTGAGTTTCTGCAGCTGAGAGGGGGCAGAATCTTGAGTGTTCCATCTGCTCCAGGAAAGTTTAAGATGCTTGGAGAAGAAACAAGTAAGGGACTATTTCTATGTGAGACCCATAGCAGTGATCTCAGGGCATGGAAGGGTCCATGAAACAAAATGCTTTTCTGTCTCCCTGGAAATGAGAATCCAAAGTGCATTCTTTGCTTGAGAAAGTCACTGGCTATAGTAGTCTGCAATCTATTAGGAAACATGGGAATGGCTCTCTCTTGCCAGGAGTCTCAGCTCCCTTGGCCCATCTCAAAGAATGAAGGGAGCGGGACTCATTCCTTACCTATTTGTCATGCGTGTTAAGAGCCTGTACATATAGACTGTTGCAATACAGAAGGAAAATGTGGGCATGCGTAGAAAACTCTTCACTATCTAGCCTGAGACATGCAGAGAGGGAGGGTGGTGGTGACTCATGGGGCGCAGTGCAGAAAATTGGAGCAAAGTAATAATGTAAGATCAGTAAAAGCAGAAATATGAGAATGGCATCTTCTGGAGTTCTCCTGAAGGAACAGGGTCTGTCTCCATACTCTGTTCCAGTTATGGCTGCTTTTTATTTGCCCTGTGAAACGATTCTTTTCTCGGCTTTCTCCTGTTGGTCACAGATCCCATGCTTAAAGTGGATGACAGCAACACTCGGATCCTGATTGGCTGCTTGGTTGCCATCATTTTCATCCTGCTGGCTATCATTGTCATCATCCTGTGGAGGCAGTTCTGGCAGAAGATGCTAGAAAAGGTGAGGCTGTGCAGTATGGACAAGGAGCACCAGATTCCAAAAAAGTTTTAAGAGGCTAGTGAGTTACCTGAGGCTACCAAGAAGCAGAGGCATGGAGAAGGCTGTTGAAGTGAGCCAGAAAATAATTAGCTAAGTCTAGTTTCTCATTTTCAGATTGAAGAATTTAGAGTCTGCCTAGAAATCTCAGGAAATGCTTCCTAATGCATTAAATCTGAACTTGGGCATTTCCCATGAAGAATCTGGTTTGCTGGGCTGAGGTAGATTGCAGGCACCTGTGCGCTTATTTTCAATTTGGCAACGATTCTGATGGACGGCTGAGGTTGGGGACCACTTTCAGTCCTGCTAAACTTTCTGGCAACAGTCCTAAAGTCCTTTTCTTCTTTGTGTGTCTCTTTCTTCCTTCCTTCCTTCCTTCCTTCCTTCCTTCCTTCCTTCCTTCCTTCCTTCCTTTCTTTCCTTCTTCCTTTCTTTCTTTCTTTCTTTCTTTCTTTCTTTCTTTCTTTCTTTCTTTCTTTCTTTCTTTCTTTCTTTCTTTTTGTGTCCGATTACTTTTCCTGTTGCTGTGACCGAACAGATGACAAACAGCAACTTAAGGATTGCTTACTTTTATATCATGACTTGAGAGGGGAGACGGTCTTTCATGGTAGGGAAGGAATGGCGGAAGGCAGGCAGTGGCTGCTTACATCGTGCCCACAGTCAGGAAGCAGAGAGAGATGGATGCTGGTGTTCAGCTTGCTGTCTCCTTTTTATTCAGTCTGGGATCCCAGTCCATAGGATGGCGCTGCCGACATTCGGGGTTGGTCTTCCCTGCTCAGCTAACCCTTCACATATGAGTAATTATGCTTCCATGGTGACTTCAAGTCCATTAAATTGACAATGAAGCTTAAGCATCTCTGTGTGTGTGTGTGTGTGTGTTTAAAAACATTAACCTCATTAACTACCAAGTAACTTATCATTATCTTTTTTTTTTGAGAGAGAGGGTTTCTCTGTAACTTTGGAGTCTGTCTTAATCCTATATCTTTATGAATTTGATGGCTATGCTTATATGTTCCTGAATTCCTCAAATTACTCACTCAAATGACATGAGTAATTTTTGTCACATGTATGTGTATCTAATATTTTAATATACAAAGTTTTATTTTCTCGTGTTTGTTTTGTTTTGTTTCTGAAACAGTCTCCCTGTGTAGCCCTGGCTAGCCTGGTATTGTAGCCAGGGTTGGCCTTGAACATGTTGTGATCCTTGACACCCCCCAACCAGGTGTCTTAATAGACTTGCACTGCCTCATCCAGCTCACACACGTTACTTTATATGCCACTCTGGGTGATAATCAGAAGAACTAGGTTGAGCTTGTTGTGATGAGATAATGCATTCTCAAGGGATGACCTGTACTCTCTATCTTTGGATTTGTTTTGTTTTTTCAATTGTTCGAAATTGATACACTTCACCAAAGATGAAGGTCTATAATTTTTCTTGACTTCTTAATCAGGAAAAAATCCTCAAAGAACACTACTGCTAAGTGACTATCTCCCTGTATATCTATAGAAATGTCTCTGGCTTTGACTTTTCTGGTTGGTGAGCTCCTATCAATGAATATGGGTCAGAGGAGCTCTAGGCTGGGCATCTCCGCAGAGGCTAGAAGGAAGCCATTTACTTCAGAGACCAAGGCTTGTGCCAGAAGAGGGGCAGGACGCCATGAGAATGGTCTTGGATCTCTAGAACTCTCTCTATGTAGGACAGGAAAGAAAGGGTTGACTTAAGATGTGAGAGGAGCAACCTAACTAGTCACCCGTGGTCCTCTCTGACCTGCTCCACATTCAGGCCCCAAAGTTAGTTGAGGCTTAGTTTAAGGTTGTGGGCAGGATATTTCATAGGAGAGAAAGTCTCTTTGCATCTCACCATCAGACAAAAAAAACCAAACAAAAACAAAAACAAATAAAGCAAAACAAAGCCTTCAATTCCTTAGCAGATTCTACAGAGTTGAAAGGAGGACCCCACAGAGCTTACTCAATGGTGTACATATGTTTCAAGGCCCCTGTGGGAGGATACTAAGCAGTTCCATCTTTCAGAAGACTGAAATGCACTCGTATCTGAATGGGTAACTCCAGCGTGGAGATAGCAGAGGGCCCATGGTGGCAGGAGAATCCAGCTGACCAGTTCCATTAGGCTGCTTGGTGCTAACATACGTTCTTTTAAAAATATATTTTTATCAATTCTTTCAGAATTTCATGCGATATATTTTTGATCAAATTTATCCCCACTCCTCCCAACTTATTATCCTCCCCCTCCTTCTTCTTTCTAACTTACTATGTCCATTTTGTGCTAGGCATGTCGTCATGGGCATGGGGCCATCCACTGTGGAGTGGCCAACCTAGCAGAAGTCACAACCTTCAGGAAGACTGACTCTCCCTCCCTCAACTCTCAACTGACAATAGCCCCTCAGTTAGGGGTGGGGGACTAGCGTTTGTATTTATCGAACAGCCTAGTAGGGCTACATTTTACTTGAAGGAGGGAAGAGAATCTGCATTCTCTGCTCTAGATTTTTTTTCTCTCTTCATTTCACTATAATTTACCACATTTCTCTGGGTCTTTCTTCTGAAAGCTGCAGGACGGTCTTTATCATCTGGGAGACGAATGCTAGTCCTGAAACTTTCCCAACAGCATGAGGGCAGCATCTTTTGCCTTCGGATCTTTAAGTTCTTTAAGGAAGGTTTTCTGCAACTACTCTTTCACTCTTTATATAGCCCTGTGCAATGGCTCACAGTGCCCTGGAATGACATTCTGGATTTCTTGCTAGGCACCGTGTGTGTGTGTGTGTGTGTGTGTGTGTGTGTGTGTGTGTGTGTGTAAAAACTTTATGTATACATATGCTCCAACAGCATTACTAAACACATTTTTTAGTCCATAAAATTTCTTGTCGATACTTTTGATGGTGTACCCAAGCAATACTTCTTTGAGAAAGTCACCATACATTTATTAGGACCTACTATGTTCTGGGTCCTAATAAATGTTTGCTCTGAGTGTGTTCCTGCAACAAGGTACTATTCAGTCTAGTATACAGACATCTAATGTGCTCTATGGAGTACTCAAAGTGTGTTTATTAAAATGGATCATTTTGCAGATTCAGATACGACATCCATATTAGATGCTGACAGTCTTCTCTTACTGGAGCAGGCAGTTACATTAGACAGTACGCTGCAACAGCTGCTTCTTTGGTGCTTTGTCTGCTTTTAGTAGAGGTAGCTGACTATTCTGCTTGGGGTTAGTAAAGGCTAGCTTATTATTCTAGCCTATAATACTAGGATGATAGAATAGATTGTTAGTCTACCATATTTTAGAACTCCCGAGTTAATGGACATTCTGGTTTATGTTGACCCAGATCAAAGGGTTAAAGGATAAGTCGACAAAACGCATTCTTCAACAGATCTCACACACCTCTAAAAACAGAGAAAGTATTGGGCTGCAGATCGTCTATTACAGAATGGCTGTTACAGAGTTGTGTGAATGATGCAGATCTGATAGTGGTGTCAGCACAAGAGTTAGAAGGCGAAATTCTGCCTTGAGGAAATAGAGGCTTTGCTAAGTTTCTGTAATACAGACATTTGTGAAACCAGACGATCTCCTTGTCAGCTGCCGTTTTCCTGGGGGTTTGAAGGGATGAGCTGAGAGGGAGGGCTGGATGAGAGAGAGAGAGAGGGAAGAGAGAAAGAGAGAGAGAGAGAGAGAGAGGGAGAGAGAGAGGGAAGGAGAGAGGGAGGGAGGGGAGAGAGAGAGAGAGAGAGAGAGAGGAGAGAGAGAGAGAGAGAGAGACCTTGTTCTCCCTCCTTGTCCTTCAGGCCTCACGAAGAATGCTGGATGATGAAATGACAGTCAGCCTCTCCCTGCCCAGCGAGTCCAGCATGTTCAATAACAACCGCTCCTCGTCCCCAAGTGAGCAGGAGTCCAACTCTACTTATGATCGAATCTTTCCCCTTCGCCCTGACTACCAGGAGCCGTCCAGACTCATCCGAAAGCTCCCAGAATTTGCTCCAGGGGAAGAGGAATCGGGTGAGGATGAAATTATGGGCAGGAGGTGGAGGGAGAAACTTTGATTCATGTGATGTAGGTATAACACTCGTGCTGCAGGTTAACCAAATCCATTAAGTCTATGCCAGCTTCTGGAGAAAACTACAGTCTCCCTCTAGATTTGGTTGCTGCTGCTTCTAGCCTGTTCTGAAACCCTTCCTTTTATACTTAATGTAAGATGTACAGAGGGACCCACGAAAAATGGCAAAGTATCACTAAGATGTTCCCAGAAGCATCTGGGCAGTCTCACCCAGTTAACCTTCTTGTCCTGTGTGTAATGGGAGAGAAGACCCAGCTGGGTACTCATGTGACACCAGACTTCAATGGAGTCAATTCTAGACTGGAAATTATATTGGAGAAAAAAAAGATAAATGAAGTTAAAGGCATTCTATAGCGGTGGGTAGCTCTTCTAATAATTGAATTTTTTTTACTTCTTTTTGGTAAATATTTATTACACTAGCATAAGATTTTATTTTGATGGCAAATACCTTTTTATCTTTTCTCAATAAAAGTGCTGATTAAGGTACATAGTACCAGTTGCTTTGAATGCCAGTGCCCTTTAAAAAGTGCCACAGAGTGACATCAGGAGGGATGCTTGGTCATTTCTGGCATCCTCACAGCTTTCCAAGGTCATCAGCGTAATAGTGAGCAGGCTGGCAGCAGAGGACTTCCGTGCAGGGGAGGAAGGCCTAGCCAGCTGATAGGACTAAATAGAAGAGGAGAGGCTCATTGGGGGGTTAAACTTGTGGAACGAAGAAAGGAAATTAAAATCCATTTTAGTACTGATGGAGTAAAATGTCATAGAAAGAAAACACTGAATTCATCTAATTTCCCAGAACCAGCAAGAGTAAAGACTTATTTGTGAACTTATTTCCTTAACAGAACTGGAGAAGTGAACCTATTTCCTGAAGTCCAAATCATCTCCAAATAGCAATCAGATTTTAACTCTCTAAAGTTATGGTACATCTTAAACAAAATCATATGAATTCAGCCTGTGGCGGTTTTCTTCCCTAAACTGTGTTATTAAATTAATGCCAGCATTTTGAAATTAAGAAAATTCACTATTAAACCTTCAGCCTTCAAGACTGCTGTCCTGATACAGAATAAACCTTCCTAAGGTTTAGCCACACAATCCCATAGAATTAGTCAGGGGAGTTGTTCGTGATGGTGTCTTGTGAGGAGACTGAGCAACAAAATGGCAGCTTGCATTTTGAAGTCCGAAAGGAAGATCCAAGAGAAAGCACAACCGGCCCCAAATAAGTATGTGTGAAGTGGGTTAGGCTACCGTGGAGCCGGATGCTGGCTAACCCCTCAGGTATTCCTTCTTAAAGATCTCCCCTTAGCTGCCCCCTTGGAACCAGACTCAGTGACAGTGTCTTTCTCAGCCTGCAGTGGTGTTGTGAAGCCAGCCCAGCCCAACGGACCCGAGGGGGTACCCCACTATGCAGAAGCCGACATAGTGAACCTCCAGGGGGTGACAGGTGGCAACACCTACTCAGTGCCTGCTGTCACCATGGACCTGCTGTCAGGGAAGGACGTGGCTGTGGAAGAGTTCCCCAGGAAGCTGTTGGCTTTCAAGGAGAAGCTGGGAGAAGGCCAGTTTGGGGAGGTGAGTTGACCTTTGGAAGGAGACACCCAGTCCTTGATGAGGTGAAGGAAGTAGGCGGATAAAAAAGTTCAGTAGTGCAAGGGTCTACAAAGAAGTGAAGGTCTCCTCTTCTTGCCTGCATTGCCGTCAGGATGTCGACCTCATCTTTGTGTAAGAGCTGTGGATTTCTGGGATTTTTGATTTATATACAGATGGTTTTAAGGCAAATAAGTCACCAGAATTCAGATACCCTGAGAAATACTCAATGCTTTCAAAAACTGTTTTCGGTAGGTTGCCAAGGGTGGGGCTCATGAACATCATCATCTTTTATAATTACCTAGGAACACCCTGCTTCATGCTGTCATTTTTTTCCTTTTAATGAGAATTATATGTCAAAATGGTAAAAGACAAAACCAAACCAAACCCAAACCAACCCCGCCCTGCCTTTGGTTCCAGAATTAACCACTAGGGAACGAATCACAAGACAAAGAGGAGCCCTCTTCTGAGTTACCCTCAGAATGAGGCACGGAATAATAAACTTTTCACTCTGGTGTGAGTCTCAGAAACCTTGAGGAAACTCAGAGCAATGTTTTCAGCTGTCATGGGTTCCCTTTAATCCTGTCATCTAAGCCCCAAATATAATACTTAGTTTTAAGTGAATATATTGTTGACTTCCAATATGGATCAAATATTCTCCCTCTGGGTAGGTTTGGTGTTGGAGGGGGCAGAGGAGCCTATGACGTCTGTCTGTGGTGTCATACGGACTCATTCTGTGCCCTGGGTTGAAATCCTATGCTCACTATATTATTACTAACACATAGGCATAGCTTATGATGTTCTCCTTACCCCAACGGATTATCTTATAATAACTGCCTTATTTTTTTAAGGCCAGGGATTAACTTTCTCAAATCAAAGTTCAACTGTTATGCCAAATGATATTTTCTAGACCAGTTATGCTGTGATAAAATACTATGTTGTAGATTCATCCCATCCTTTATCAATATTTCATTTAATGTATATTTCTCTTAGAAGGCATCAACATATTATATTAGTTGTGTACTTCAGTACTGTTTATTAATTTTGTCAATTACTTAAATCAAAGATATGTCACCCATAGCCTCTTATTGGTCTTCAGTTATTTCGCCTGAGTTGTAAGCGTTAGTTTATCTCCAGGACATGCCCAGCAAGAGTACTGAGACATCTTCAGGAGAAATGATGATGCTGAGACTAGATGACTTTTGTCTAGGTTCATCTCTGTGAAGTGGAGGGAATGGAAAAATTCAAAGACAAAGATTTTGCTCAAGATGTCAGTGCCAACCAGCCTGTCCTGGTGGCTGTGAAGATGCTCCGAGCAGATGCAAACAAGAATGCCAGGTCTGTGATTTGAATTTTGAATTTTCCTTTACCTACTTCATAGTGTGAGGATTAGGAATATTCCTGGAAATTCCTGAGCCTTCCTTTTCTTTCTTCTTCTGAGATGGGAAGGTCAGTGAGCTGTCCCCCAGCCCACTCTTACGTCTATGCTTCCAGTGTGGTTGCCCATTTTTTTCATCTCTTTCAAACATAAATGTATATATTTATAACATAGTCACTATATCTTTCCTCCCTAAATCCCTTGACCCAGTGCATACGACAGCTCATATGTGTTCTTTGCTCATGATACCCAGACATACTGTAGAATGGCACTCTCCTCTAGCTGACTTCACAATGACAGACACCTTTCTGCCCTGCTGTTTTTGCCACACCTCTGTTTTCCTTCTCATCCTGTTTTTCCCTCTTCTATGCTCCTTTTCTTCTATGCTCAGCAGCCGCTCACAACAAGAAGCTACTTCTACTTGGAAATGCATCCATGAACCTCAGAGCCAAAGGACCCCCAGCCCTTTAGCAGGTTTCCTAACTGACTGATAGTCTCTTGGATTCTTTATGACATACATTGCTGTTTCCATCACCGTGCCTTGTTCCCTGACCACCTTTCTGTATGGTAATGGTGAGCGAATCCTCACCCGGAGGGGCACACTGCTAGCAAGTAAATTGTGTCCCAGAGAAACCTGAACATCTGGATACCACATGCATCTTCCCGTGTGTGTTGTCTTGATTTGTCCCACCGATATTCCTCCCAAGAGGAAGTTTATTATTTCTACTCTCTAAGCTATCACAAATTCCAAGGACAATGATAGGTTTCATTTAAAAAAAAAGTCTTACAACAGACAGGATATGAACTGGAGAGAAAGGGGAGGAAGTGGAGCTGTGTGGGCTTTCACACTTTAACAAAGAGCTTTGACTTAAGAACATTGACGTGAATGAAAAGCAGCGCTCCCCGGGGCCCACAGAGACATGGGATGTTTCTCATATTAATCTTTGCATGTGGCAGGAGAAAGTGGCAAGCAGAAAAAGGCACTGTGTGAAATAGGACAATATGGATCTGGGCTGATGAAATTTCCAGGTCCACTTGTGTTAACTCTTGTATGGTAGTGATAAATGGCCTAGACTCGGGGTCCTCACGAGTCACCAAAACCCATGGTCTGGGATTCACAGGAAAGTAAGAGAGGAGATGCTGAATCAGGACTACATGGGTCCCAAGAATGTGTGTGGACAGAGCCTGACTTGAAAGAGATGCATTGTCTTTCTTGCAGAAATTATGTTACAGAATTCCTTTAAAACTCACTAGAGACTTCTAACTGATTTGCTCCTGGAGTTTTGGGAATGAGGGCTTTAGGCTCCATGTTGACAGTTTGCAACTCAAGTGTGGCTGTCACTCTGAACTCAAACCGTTGCAAGTCTTGGCCAGATACGGACTTGTGAAATGACTTTAGTTTATCATGACGACTTTCAAACAACTCTGCTTGAACAGGCTACCAAATCAGTGTATACTGTGGCTGGCTGCTGGTGCAGGTGGTCTTGGGAATAGCCAGTAGGAGAAAAAGAGAAATGATCAGATAACCAAGAGGGTGGTTATTCACCTTGTAAAAAGTAACTCCACTTCATTAATAGTACGATTCAGTAGCTCTTGAAAGAGGTAAATATCTTAAAGTTCTCAGGTTGGTTTTTAGTGAAAAGCACCTTTTGCAAGGTAGTTTTAAGCAACACATATTTGAGTCAGTAACATCAACACCTTTCCATGTAGTGGGTATTTTACCACCATATGAGGGATTTAAAAGAGAGACATAGATCTTGTTCTTAAGAACATTATTATTGATTAAATAAAGGTCCGTCTTGTTCAAGGAGGAGCTGAATGTGATTGTTCTGGGTGCAGTGTGTCTGTCATCTCAAAGGTCTTCTGTAGAGCATGGTGTGGTGTGATGAGTGGGAACAGACAATGTCGTGCATCCTTGCTCCATTCTGATTCTGACAACCTCTGGTTTTCTCTACAATCACACCCTCCAAAGGAATGATTTTCTTAAGGAGATAAAGATCATGTCTCGGCTCAAGGACCCAAACATCATCCGTCTCTTAGCTGTGTGTATCACTGATGACCCACTCTGCATGATCACGGAGTACATGGAAAATGGAGATCTCAACCAGTTTCTTTCCCGCCACGAGCCTCTGGGTTCTTGTTCTAGCAATGCAACAGTCAGGTAAAAAAAAAAAAAAAAAAGTAATGTCTGCTGTCTTTTCTCTGTGGTCATAAGGTCATAAGGGCCTGGAAATGGGGAGAGGTGAAGTTTAAGGTTCCTGTTGTCATGGGGGTATTGTGAGAAGTCTATTAGTTGAATGATGGAGTAGCTACCCTTTGGTGGGGGGAAATCAAACAGATTCCTTAAGAGTGGAGGCAGGATATAGATAATTCAAGCCTGGTTTGTTGTTTAGAATATGCCCCCTCCACAGCTGCATTCTCTTTCTTATGTTATGCCTTTAGTTATGCCAACCTGAAGTTTATGGCTACCCAGATCGCCTCTGGAATGAAGTATCTCTCATCCCTTAACTTTGTCCATCGAGATCTGGCCACCCGGAACTGCTTAGTGGGCAAGAACTACACCATCAAGATAGCTGATTTTGGAATGAGCAGGAACCTGTACAGTGGTGACTACTACCGGATCCAGGGCCGGGCCGTGCTCCCTATCCGCTGGATGTCTTGGGAAAGCATCTTGTTGGTGAGTTTCTACACCTGTGAGCCCTGTCCAGCAGCTCACCCACTGCTCGGGTGGGAGACCGGGACAAACGGGAGGCAGCAGGAGGCAAGCCCACAGACCTTGATATTTTCCCTGATTTGAGAGGAGAATTTATTATTATTATTATTATTATTATTATTATTATTATTATTATTATTGACTTGCCTATTTCTGGCAAGTAATATACCATTATTGAAACTTTAGGGAAAAAGTTTAAAAATATAAGGAATTTCGTACCCTTCCTCCTCTACCCTTCCAACTATTGAATGATCTTAATTCTAGACTTTTTTTTTTAAAAAACCCTAGCCCTCAGGAGGGAGAGGCAGGCATATCTCTATGAGTTCTAGGCCAGTTTGGTATACAGAGTAAGTCCTAGGACAACTAGAGATACCCAGATAAATAGGTAGATAGATAGATAGATAGACAGATAGATAGATAGATAGACAGACAGATAGATAGCATTTTTTAAACCTAAAGGTGCTTTGTGATCTTAAAAAATGACATATTGGACTACATTCAGGGGCCCATGTTTCCACTCCAGTTTTTGCATTATTAAAGCATTTATTAACCAGGGTGATTTGGCAAACTTCTCTTACTTTTCTGAGCTAAAAATCAATGCCTTCTGCAAGTCCACATCACTATCTTTATTAAATAGAAAATGTATATTTAATGATAGTCATTTTTTTCAAGACTGTGGCTATCACTGAATATGGCAGCAAGAGTCCTGGATCCACCAGGCCTAATTCCATGCACTTGAAACATCTTCTTTTATCCCTACCATCAAAACAGCTGACTTCTCATGCTAACTTTGGCGATTCTCCAAAGTGGCCCATAACCTACAGGTGGCCCTTCTAGTTCAGAGGATGGGTAGCCTACAGGTATGAGTCCACTGACTGGCTCATGGTCAGTATCCTTTCAGTTCTTGGATATCATCTCCAAGAGAAATAGAACTAAGCCGAGGTCACAGGGATGGGAGAGTGGGCTGCTTTCTAGTAATGTCATATTGCTGCTTCCGGATCCTCCAGGCACAATTGCCAGCTGCCACATTCCTTGTCCTTGGTAGGGGAAGACTGAGTCCAACTGGTGAGCACGTAGCTCTTTCCCTCTTTGTGCCTGGCTTACTCTGATTTTCTCTTCTTTTCCTTCAACAGGGCAAGTTCACCACAGCAAGTGACGTGTGGGCCTTCGGGGTGACTCTGTGGGAGACTTTCACCTTTTGCCAGGAGCAGCCTTATTCCCAGCTGTCCGATGAGCAGGTTATTGAGAATACGGGAGAGTTCTTCCGAGACCAAGGGAGGCAGGTATGAACTACTGGGGATGTGAACTGGGGTGCTCTCAAAGGGGAAAGGAAGGTCCCGACTTAGTAGGAAGACCCCAGCTCAAGGACAGAAACAGAATTCTGTTTCTTATGCTCATTCTATTTCTGGATCTAGATTATCTGGCTAGTCCATTGGGTGATAAAAAACAGCGAAGAGAGTTAAAAATACTATTAGCTTTTTTTGTTTAAAAAGTCTTAGAATAAGATAATGGTGTTGGTTTGGGCTGGTGAGCAATGTTTCTGCATTTGCACATCCACAAATAGACTGCTGTGCCCTGGCCCTTCTCCAGGAAGGCTGGGCCTGCTTATGGAGCCTTTTGGGACTTATGGACCACTGAGCCCCTAAGCTAACAAGGAATCCTGATTCTCTGAGCTATCAAGTTTTCTTTGGTTGGCCAACTATCTAATGCTCTTGAGAGACCTAGGACTTAAAGCTTGCTAATAACTAGAGCATTGCAGTCCTCCAGGTGATCTGTTCGTAGCACACCTTACATCACGGTATCAGCAACAGGCAGATGGTAACAGCTGGGGACAGGTTTTGCAGGAGATAAAAGTGAGTCCTTTCTGGCTTACCTAAACTTACACAAGAAAATGACAAGAGAGGGGCAAGAATAATCCATGGTACGTGCTGCAAATGAGAACAGGCAGGGAACTTAATTTTCATCTCTATATTCTTTAGATAGTGTGGTAACAGGAATTCTAAATCCCCTGTCCTAGTCAGGAGGTGTCTTAGCGTTTCTATTGCTGTGCTGGAACACCATGACCAAAGGCAAGTTGGGGAGGAAAGGGTTTGTTTGGTTTGTGCTTCCTCATCTACACCATAGTCCATCATTGAGGAAGTAAGGGCAGAAACACAAACAGGGAAGGAACTGGGGGCAGTACCTGACTCAGAGGCCATGAAGGAATGCTACTGACTTACTCCTCACTACTTGTTCAGCCTGATTTCTTGAATCTAAGACCACCTCCCCAGGCATGTCCTCACCCACAATAGGCTGGACCCTTCCGGATCAATCACTAATTAAGAAAATGGCCTACTGGCTTGCTTTCAGCCAGTTCTTATGGAGACATTTTCTTAACTGAGCTTTTCTCTGGTTACTTAATTGAGGTTTTCTCAGATGACTTTATCTTGTGTCAAGCTGATATAAAACAATCCAGCACAGGAGATAACCGCTCTCTTATTGTGATAAAGCAAGTATTTGTCTTTGTCTTTATGAAATATGCAATGGACCAAGAAAAAAAAGTTCCTCTTTCTAGAATAATCTATTCAAACCATCCTTTAGGGGACACATGGCCAATTAAGAGTTGTACATTCGATTAAAAAATGGATCATGCTCATTAAAATAATGGTCTTAATTTGAGTGTATCCTAGAATAATAGGCAAAGGTAGAGTTATTGAAAGCCTCTTAGCTTTCTTCAAATTATTATTTATCAACAGAAACCCTGAAGAGTCAGTTTTTATACCAAGGCAAAATTAGATCACCATCCATGCCACAAGAGAAAGGCCTCGAAGTCCTTTCTTGCTCATTTTACATTAATGTTTGTAATATTAAAAATGATCTCTAAATAGCCAAAAGTTGTTTCAATTCTGTTATTCAATTTCACAAGAACACGTCTTTTCAAACCATCTGATAGTAATAAAAGTTCTCATTACTAATAATCTTCAGAACTTTACTTTCTTCATTTAGCTTTGAACAGTCTATGTAAAAAGGCCCACGATTTTTACCTATACAAGATACCAGCAGTGTACCAAATATGCATTTTGACCATCTACTGATGGTCAAGCACCGAAGTCAGATATTTGACTGAATCCAGGCCAAAGCCAAATATTACCACCATATTGTGAGTCATTTCTCAGTTACAACTGGAAATTTTATAAAAATTATTAAACTTGGTGTATCAATGTTAACAACTTATTAAAATTGATAAAATGTAGTTGCTATTGTGTCTATAATTGAAATGTCAGTATTCTCGTTAACTAGCAGCTGTATATGACTTCTGTGGTCACTGAACTACACACATGTTGAAATAGCTTTCCAGTAGTTCAGCAAGCCTACTGGACACAGGAGCTACAAGGAAGAGAAAGAACAGCCAGGCTAATGTAAATTCTAGAAGAAATTTTATACTTCAGGTTCATAGCTTAAGAAAATTTTAAACAATTTATCTCCAATTTAAAATGCTTAGACATCTATAGCAAAAATTTCAACCACTATAATGTAGTTGACATTTTTGCTTTCAATTTATAGTCACAAGATATGAAGAAATTCCAGACAGCATTTTTTTTCTTGAATTCGCACAGTATAGATAGAACTAAGTAACTAAAATGAAATAGTTTTAATTTTTTCTTTGGTGTTACAAGAGGTAACAAAATTATATATTTGATATGAAGTATTAGGAAATGTAACTTTAATATATCAAGTTTATAACATTTGAAAGGGGCCTTAATAATTCCTATTATTTACTATTACAATTTTATTGATATATATTGGCTTAGAATGAATTTTGTTGCTATTGCTGTTGTTGCTTTTGAGATTGTGCCTTGCTACATTCTGAAGGTAACCTTGAACTCAGATCCTTCTGCCTGAGCCTCCCGAGTACTAGGATTACAAACCAGCCTCTGCCACATCTGGCATTCTTCTATAATAATTTTTATAAAGTTCTATAGTGGGCACCTCACAAAGAGATCCACAGGTTTAAGTTTTATCAGTAATATGCAAGAATGTCCATTTTGCTGTACCCTTATTGGTAATGGTGTCTCTCAAATGCTTGGTCTTTTACAACCATAGTTTTATAACTCACAGAATTGTTATTTCTGATTTGATATTCTATCTAATTTGCTATTTTAACAGAAGTAAAAGATTTTTCCTATTAGCCTTAGGCTAATTAGAATTAGGAGTTGATGGGCATATGATTATTAGACTCTGCAAAGCCCAGCTCCTATGATACATGATACAAGCTGCTTTGCCTGGGGTAAGGCAAGGCAATGGGAAGTAGTTAATGATTAACTGGGCACAGATATTGTGTTCAAAAGAGGCAATAATACTTTGATGATTCAGGGAACATAGAACGCTTAAGTATGGCTCAGTAATGTATCAGTATAACAGGGTATTAAAGCTATAGGTAAGGGAATGATAATAACAGTATATAGAAGACAGAAGACTGGAAATTAAGCAGAATGGCTTAATTTCCACAAGGAGATGCTAACTGGCAACTTGAGAGCAAAATCCTACACTGGGGTTAGGGCACAGTGACCACACCTGTTAGTGCAATCTAATCTCTTCTAAGTGAGACTAATACAGAGGAGGGGGACACAGAGGACAATAGTAGGCATTACAAGGATGTGACCTGCATGCCAATTTCTGCATCGGCTAAAATTTTATTCCAATCAAAATTGTAATGAAACGTCAAATGCTTTATGGAGCTGAAGTTACAAATGTAATTGCTATCTATTGTATTGTCTCAACCAAGATCCATGCTCACAAGTTGGGGATCTGAGCTTGCTTTGCATTGGTTTCATCTTCAGCATGAAGACAAGGCTCACAGCATGGACCACCATAAAATACTGCTTGAGGGAACTAGGAAAGACCATGGAAATGGGAAAGGGGCTGATGAGCTAGAACTCCATGGATGGGAAGAATAGATAGAGTGCTCTATTTATTTCAGTCATTGAGTTCAAGAAGGTAGTGAGGGCATAAATGGAGCTATGCTACAATTTATTCACCTCCTTTCTCTTAATATATATTTCTTCTTTTAATTTTTTGTTCCCAAAGACTTATCTCCCTCAACCAGCCATTTGCCCCGACTCTGTATATAAGCTGATGCTGAGCTGTTGGAGAAGAGAGACCAAGCACCGGCCATCATTCCAAGAAATACACCTTCTGCTACTTCAGCAAGGGGACGAGTGATGCCATCAACGCCTGCCAATGTTCCTGTGGCCCAGGTCCCTCCCACAAGACCTACAGCTCACCCACGTTTAAGCCACTTCATCTGGACATTTAATGGACCTAAGAGACAGAAAAGTGTTCACTTTACCCTCTTCCTGTCTCTTGCCTCCTCCACTACACTTCCCTATTCCCTACCACTGACTCATATATACTTTTTTTTACATGAAATAACTAAAAAAGAAAAAAAAATAGAGCAGATAAAATTTAGTAAAATAAATATTACTTGATATATCTAAGTGTTAGATAATAAAGGCTAGAAACTCAGATAATTTATAAAGGTTACGCTTATGTTTATGAGTGTGCAGATCCTACAATATTTTCCATGTCACTTTGTATAGAATACCTTTAGAAAGAAAAACTTGAAGAATACGAATGTCTTGGGAAGCATGAGATTAGGCGTAAGGAAAGGACTTGGTAGCCGTGAAGAATTGCAGGACTCGGTACTCCGCAACTAATGGATGTCTTTTGACTTGGCCTCTGGACTTGAGCCGCTCTCACTCTCAGATCTCTGTCTCTGTCTCTGTCTCTGTCTCTGTCTCTGTCTCTGTCTCTGTCTCTCTCTCTTGTCAAAGTGAGTGATGTACTTACAAGTTAAAAAGCTCTGCCTTGTTTGGGGGGATGAATGTTTTCTTCACTCGTGGACAGAGATCAGGGCATGCCTATGAAACAGGTCACATGGGCAGGAAGAAGTGTCTGTTGTGAGACTTGCAGGACAATAGTTATATATAGAAAAGAAAGATTGCCTGGGATTCTTAGTAGACAGAATCATAGGAAAGGAGGTCCATGGAGGATGGAGAGTAGCTATACTCTGTTGTTCGCTTGTTCACTTGCTCAGCCATTTTCACCTGTGTGCTTTAGGGACACCTAGACTTTTTAATCAGTCAAAGCCTGATGTTTGGATATTTTAGAGGCTGCTCCAGTTCATCTCGCTCAGTTCTGTTTCTTTCACTATGTGATGCCACTATGTGACCTAGAGGCTAGGATTTGAACTTCTCAGGCATAAATATCCAATGCTGTGTACAACGTACAGTAAGTAGATCCATTTTGAGTGTTCCCAAAAGGCTGGCCTGGACCATGGAAGGAAGGTATAGGAAAACTGATTTTCACTCTTTATTTGGGGAAATATGGAGAGAATCAGAACATACAGGCAAGAATGGGCTTCCCCAGAGATGGCGAATCTCTCATCTCTGAAAACTTTCAGATATTAGCTGAAGAACTATGCAAGAAAGAGGTTCTTGGCCACTTGTGTCTGTGTGGGGTAATAAAAGGATAGCCATTCAGTGCTACTGAATGTGCTTTTGTCATAGAGACGGCGGCCAGCAGCAGAGCAAGAGGGGCTAGTTTCAGGATTCGTGGAAACTGATACACCATCTAATGGGAGCTGTCTAAGAGCAGATCCTAAGTTTTCATATTCTAAAGACTCTCAGATTCATCGGGAAACTAGAATATAGAAACCTTAAGTCCTGTAGAGGAAAACCAAGAAGAGATTACCAAATAGGCTTCCCAAACTGAGATTAAATAGCCCCGTGGTCTGCTTCTGTTATCTACCCAGACAGCTTGCTCTATGGTCTCTCAGAAGCCTGGCTGTTTCTTGGTTCAGCCTTCAGATAACTCCAGGACACAGCAGAGGTGTAGCTCTAAGTCTTAAAATTAATTCTCAGACCCTATTTAGTCATAGTGAATTCCCCTCTCCTGTGGCTTTTGTATCATTTTCAGCTTTAGTCTTTCCCAAGACTAAATTTGGGTTCATTGATTGGAGGAGAGGTAGGTGAATGTTGGGTTTGGAACTCTGGCCCTCTTTCTGCCGCAAGCCAAGTATGCCACCTTCCCAAGTCTCATAGTCTCTCTGAATCTGTTTCCTTATCTGTCTAATGAGTTAATTGAATTAGGCGGTCTGGAAATGGAAATCTCTTGGAGTTCTGCTCTGCTTTGTGCCTGCTGGAGAACTAGGTTTGTGATTGATGTAGGATCAGCTACTCTCTTGCTCAGAAAATTGTGACCAGTAAACGAGATCCCGAGAGGCAGCACTTTTGTAACGCCACTGCCTGCCTCGTCTCTGCTCTAGGATGCCCAGGAATTTCCACCCGTTATCTCATTTGGTATCTCTAGGGCCAGGCAAGGCTCTTTCACAACTCTTGGCTCTGTGCTCTTTAGCATTCTGTCCCTAATTCACTTTATTCCTTTACCTGCTATTTAAAAGTCGTGTTTAAAATGAAATTCCCTGACTTTGCATTATGGAACTCATCTGTTCCAGGCGACTCTCCAAAACATATTATCATGTATAAGCAGAATTTTTCTTTTCTTTCTCCTTCCTTCCTTCCTTCCTTCCTTTCTTTCTTTTTTGTATAAAGAAGGCTCTACCTTCTGGCACTGAGACCTTTGATTTATAGACACAGGTTTAGTTTCTATTTATACTTGTAGAGTTGAGCTGTACCAACCTGAGTGACCCAACATGGTAGATGGGTAGGGCTTACCATATAGACTTAACAGGTAGCTCAAATCTAAATTAGAGGAATGAAGCTAGGCTTTAGGAAAAAGAACAGAAACAGACGAGAAACCGTGGGCTATTGTTGTTTTCCGAAGTTATTCATGATCATGATATATATATATATATATATATATATATATATATATATATGAACCATTTATGTCAAGATAACCTTTAGACTATCATATCTCAGTTTATACCTTTATGGCAAATGTATTGATAGGCAGGTACATATATTTTTTAGTGCTGGGAATCAAACCCAGAACTCTCACATACTAGGCAGAGGTTCTATTATTGATCTATAGCCTCAGTATCTATGTTCAAATCTTTTCCCGTTGGCCAGACAAATATTTCACTAATTTATGTTTGTGATCTACAGTCGAAAGGAGTGTCCTTAGGGGATCATGCATTGTTAAGGCTGTGAAAAAATCACCTGAGAGTGTTCAAGGCTGTATGACAAAAGAGGGCTGTGTGCAAGTGTGCAAGTAGTGGTTTTAAAAAGTGGTTACACAAATGTGTGTGTGTGTGTATGACTGAATGGAAAGGATGAGGTAAAGATGAGAAAGAAGGTACCATAAAGACAGGTAAGGAGAGATTATGGAAAGGCACAGGAGGAGGCAAGTCAGGCAAGGTAGAGACAGGGATGGAGGAGGTCATGAAATCAATTTTTGATACATGAAAGTGAACCCTTGAAAGGAGATCTGAGCGAGATTAGAAAAAGTGACTTGAAAAGAATGAAGGATGAGTAGAAGAAGAAAAACTGGGTGAGAGAGAGACCGTATTTATTAAAGTGAAGTCAGGGCTATAGAAGGTATTTTGGCAGAGTTAAGGACGGGATGGCCTTCATGGATAAAGACACATGTAGTCATCAGGGAACGCCCTTTTCATCTCAGGGGAAGTGGGTACAGGAGGCAGTTTGTGCTCCTGCTTCTTCTAGACCACATCTAGTGCTGGTGGCAAGTCAAAGCTGTCTGTGCACTGGTCTTGGTGTTCCACGTGCTGTTTGGGCATGAAGATCTAGGAGTTTGGGAGCTTGTGGTAGTGACTTTCAATAATGTTCCTCTTTGCTGGACCCAGAGTGGCCCCAGTAAACATGGAAACAATAGGTGTAAGTTAGACAAGACTAAATCATGTCTGATTTTTAAACAGAGGCATGTGTCATATTAGAAACATGTTTTTCTAGTCCCACCCAGGCATTCCGCAAGAAAACCAGGATGTGAGGGTAGGCCATGTGTTTTAAGTAAAGAAGAGAAAGAGGGGAGTGTCCAGATGAAGGGAATAGGGGGCGATGCTCTGAGAACATATACTAGAAGACAGAAGAATATTTTTATCCCAAAATACAAAATGAAGAGAATTGCAGTACATTGGTTATTATGACTTTGATCCTAAGTCATAATTCATGGCTCTGGTGTTTTCTGTCATAGTCCTCTTTTCTTTGTTTTGAAGCCCATGTCCTTGGGCATTGCATTGGGGAAGCCCCTTACGTCTTGACAAGATGCAGATTCTGCTCTACTCTGGGAAATCCTTTTGAACTGAAGTTTCATATTCTAGAAACAGATGAATGTCATTGGCACTTAATGAATTATCTGGGATCCTGAATTAAGAAGGAAGGAAACTGGGTAGTTAATAAGGACTTGATTCCAAGCAGATTTGGGCTCTGTTCTCTAATGATCTGAGTAGGCTGGCAGGAAAAGACTGGGGGGCGAGCAGTTGGCTGTCCCATACATCTCAGATACTTGTTAATTTCAGATGATTTGAAACTTGAAAGAAGTTACAAAAGAATCAGTGCGGCACGGGCTTACCCTGGATCTGGTTTTCCTCTGCTGATAATATTTTAGTTTATTTTCATCCATCAAAACCATTGTCTGCTTTGAGCCATTTTCAAAACTGGACTTGGATTTCACCAGTTTTCCTGCCTTGTACTCATTTGCTCATTGGACATCACCGCTGTTGGTTCGTAACCTGGCCTTGGTGGCACACGGCAGGAAGGAGTCTAGATATTATTCTACAAACATTGAGAGAAACCAGCAATTGGCAAGCCCATTCACCAGTGAACAATATCCCACCTATTTGCTGAATTCACTTTCAATTAATGTTTATCATTGCTGGACCCAGAATGTCCATAGCCTTCCATACCAATTATGTGAAATGATTATTTCCTTAGTTGGCACCCCCAAACAATCCAAGAACAACTTAAGAAGATTAATGATATAAAAGGCTTTCAGGCAGAAGGAAATTCTAAACAGAAGCATGGAACTTTTGTTGGTGACAAGGAGGCTTTAGGGTAAACCAGTACTTTGGTCAAGGATTAAGTGATACTTATTGGAAGCAGAGATAGTTTTTGGATAAACTATAACACAAATATAAACCCCTAATGTGAGATAACACACCCTTTCCAGAGTTGTGGGGAAGTCTCATTTGCTTAAATGTTCATCCTTAAATATAGTAACAGCTACTGAATTAAATTCAAGCTTTCTATGGAAAAGTTGAAACTCTAGTTTAAAGGATCATGACTTTGGGTTTTCTGTTGGACATTTTTAAGCTGCCCTGCTTAAGGGCTATATGACAATAACTGTCTGTGGCTTATGAAGTTCCTAGCACACAAGTGAATATTTTGTGAATTTTATGTTTTCAGTGAATAAAGTATGGAAAATTGTTATGTATCACAAGTGTGAATTTTGGGAGAAGTGCTCTGTTAAAGCATAAAAAGAAAAGGGAAAAAAGTGTCCTACAGCATGTACCCCTTGTGTCTTGTGGTGGTGAAACCGATTCAGACAGCATGCATGTTGGTTCTCACAGGGCTCCAGATCAAAGGCGGAGAGTAGACCCTGGCTGCAAATCTAGCTCTTTTGAACCGAGCTATTGATTTAGTTTCTCCTACAGACACCTTGCCAGTCACTTTACAGGCCTTGTGGGAGAACAGATATGAGTTCCAAGGCTGATCGGCAATCACAACTGTGTGTCAAGGAAACATCTGTCGAGCGAAAGCACAGGCAGTCAATATCGGGGCAAACGTGTTTTCTTTAAAAGGAGGTTTGGATAACGGGGAAAGCTGGGAGCTTTTCTGCAAACATACCGAGGGTTTTCAGTCTACACTAGTCATCTGAACCTTTCTTTGCTATTCAAGGATTCAGCTCTTCTTGCCTGATGTCTGGTAACTGCTCCTGAGGACTGACTTTCCGCAGCAGTATGGTGGACTCTCCTATGAGGCGGCAACATCTGGGCTTTATCCAGCAGGCTGGGGTGGATAATGTGCCTTGTTAAGGGCTAAGCAGCAAATGGATTTAATTTCTGCCTAAAACTATCATAGTCATTCTAAAATAGAATGCACAAAACTCCTCTGTATGGAAAAAGGAGCAGAACATGATGCCAACTGTGTATTTTCTTTTCTTTATTTATTCTCTGTAAGTCTGTTGGATGATACATTGTACATAACAGATTAAAGAGTCATGCTACTGATGGGGTCTCCTTTCTGTCTAAGCAGCAACGGTTCTGGTGGTCTCTGTTATCTTTCCTCCTTACACAGTTTGTGTAGTACTGATGAGACATAGGGGAAGAGCTATAGGTGCATGCAGTCTGGACATGTTTATTAGGGTTACTCAGCCACGTGTGTGTGTGTGTGTGTGTGTGTGTAGGCTTTCGTTTGATATTAGTTGACAGCTAACTAACACAACTATGTCTCTGACTTATCCAAATACCATAGAAACTATGATTTCATAGCTTCACACTATTGTGCCTGCCTGGAAGATAGCCTTGCTATCTGGAGAGCCTTTATAGTCATCGCTATGGAGTTTGTTTGTTTTAAACAGAAATCTCTGCTAAATCCAAAGAAGGCATGGTCTGTCTCAGGTAGCTGATAACACAAGCAGAAACCAACCAAACTACAGACAACTGGAACCCAGATTCAATCTTCACAATAGAGACTAAGGTGGCACAAACCCAAACACTTGTGACATCAACCTGCCCGAACAGATTTCTGGGTACCCTGAGCACGCTTCTTCCAGAGCTCGTCACAGTAGATAAGAGAATGGGTGTAAATGCTCCAAGAATAAACAGAATAGTCATGATTGCTCTTTCCATCTCTGCAATGTTTGCGACTTCGGGACGCAAGACCAGGAATCCGGGTACCTGAGTGGTGGAACTGGGATGGAAGGGAAGGAAACAGGGGGATTGGAGGTGTTCAGAGAGATATAATTCTGCTGTCAGTACCTACTGCCAAGGCCTAACCTAAAGGCAGCTATGAATGATGGTTTGCATCATATTTACACAAACACGCAGGTCTGTTGTTCATGTATCTAATACACAGGTTGCTAATGAGGATGAAAATTATGTCCATTCAGTTTTCCATTAGCAACTTGAAGGGGCTTAGCTTAGTCGCAGAGAACAAGAAAACCAATTTCCATGTATTGTTTAATATTTATTCCCCATTTGAAAAAGAAGTGGCCACATATCTGCAAACCGTTCTCTTCTGTAGTCCTTGGATCCTACCCAGGGTAACACATGACTGTTTACCATCAGCGAACTGGGTAAAATCTTGAGTTAGTTTTGGGTCATTATTTCCAGGAACGCATTATTTCCAGGAAGAGGGGTGAAAAATATAAACAAGACAAGCTACACAGCGCCAGCCAGTTGTTCTTTAGTCCTGTTTGCAAATCAGAGGTAGGCAATTCTGGGAATGTTTACAAGGACCAAGAATGGAGCTTTGTTATAGGAGCAAACGATCCTTCCCTTGTCCTTATCTACTGTACGATAAAAAGAACCAGAGATCAGCGCCAGAGCTTAGTGTAGAGACACATCTATTATACGGAGCATAAGTAATGATAGAGTTGATGCACCTTCCATTCAACTCATTTATCATGGCTTGTCAGTGATAGGTAGACTCACTGTGTGCCACACTGCTCTGGTACTTTAACAGAAGAAGCCCCTGAATAATACAAACCCAAGATGACTAGTTTGGGGAGATAAAAACAAACAAACAACCCACTCAGCTATAGATTAGAATATATTCCACTTGCTTTTGGTTGTGTCCTCCCTATGACAAATTATTTTTAAAATGAAGCAGTCTAGTGCCACAGTCAAGACCATCGCTTGAAGGCCACAGGACCTTGGATGCAGCAACTCCAGCACTCGGGAGGCAGAGGCAGGGGGATCTCTGCGAGTTCGAGGCCAGCCTGGTCTACAAGAGCTAGTTCCTGGACAGGCTCTAAAGCTACAGAGAAACCCTGTCTCGAAAAACAACAACAACAACAACAACAACAAAAAACTTCAGTAAAATGAAAGGCGATATTCAGATTTTCTCACTGGCCTAGGATGTAGGGGAGAGAGGAGGACAGACTTTCTCTGAAGTCTTCTGGGCATCGTGTAATGCAAAGCTGGCCCTACAGCGAGTCTCATCTGAGACTTTGGTGAGGCTGAATCCCTAGCTGACACACCCACCCCGACATTGTGATATATGATGCTTCTGTGGACAAAGTTCATGCTAAGAGCTGTATAACAGAACTTCTCTGTCTCTCTCTCTGTCTCTCTGTCTCGGTTTTCTCAAGACAGGGCTTCTCTGTAGCTTTGGAGCCTGTCCTAGCATTCACTTGGTAGACCAGGCTGTTCTCGAACTCACAGAGATCCACCTGTCTCTGCCTCCTGAGTGCTGGGATTAAAGGCCTGCACCACCACTGCCTGGCTAAGAAATGAGTTTTCTTTTGGAGAGTCACATAGTTCTCTCTGCTCTCTTCCATGTCACCACTGAACTCCAGGGTTTTAAAAGGACATTTGGAGCCTGGCAGTGGTGGCGCACACCTTTAATCCCAGCTAGTCTCAGGACAGCCAAGGCTACACAAAGGAACCCTGTCTCCAAAAACAAAATAAACAACAAAAAAGAAAGACTCCTTTGGGTATAGAATCTCAAGATCACAAAGAATTTTACTCCAAAGCTTTTAGAAAATACCGTTAAGATACCATCTTTGATAAACTGATCAAAAATCCACTTTAATTTTAGTTGTTAATTGGTATCATGAATCAAAACATTAAGATCAAACTCCAGAAAAAATAATCTCAATCATTTAGGACCACAGCTATTCATATAGTCTACAGCTCTGAAAGAGTTATGGAGTTTGTTTAATCGTACTATGTATAAGTACTAGTACCTTTACTCAATGTTACTGGGGACTTTCAACCATCTATAAATAGCGAAAACTGGAATAAGGATTATAACAGCGGCGCAAGGTACTTTTATAGGAATTAAACTTAATAAAAAGTGGGGGTTGTAATTGATAAGCATTTGCCCTTCCCTCCCCCACTACTTAGCTTCCTCCCCTCCTGCACTCACTGCAAAATACTCATCTGGGATGGCCTGGCGACAAAAAAAAAAAAAAAAAAAAAAAAAAAAAAAAAAAAAAAAACTTTACAGAGGCCTGACAGGCACTGACGGAGATGACAGTTACACATTCCTTTAAGAGTTCTGAAATTCTCATTTCCATTTCACATTCAGAGCTTGGAAATTCCTAATTCACTCGTGTCTCGACATAAATAAAACACAATAAAATCCACGTTTCTTTGCTCTAAAGATTATGCTTTAGAGAAGGATCGGAAGATGGACCTACACATTCTAAGAATTAACCTTGGACTTAGGTCCAAGTACTCCACCCTCTGCCAGCGTCCACCAGACTCTGTCTGCCCGCTCTCACTACGCAGACTAAAGACCCCGCCCCGAGCTGACACCTCCTGCAAACTGAGGGCGGGGACTGTCTTCATTGGCTAGGACCCCTGTGCCACGCGGCTCCGCCCCTCGGCCTATCTCACCCCACCAGGCCCCGGCGTGGAGAGAGGATGCCGGGTTGCAATTGGCTGGCCTAGGCGGAGACGGATGACGCAAGAGGAGGTGGGGCCTCGCCTAGCCTTGATTGGCCGTGGTGCGCTAGGGCGCGGATAGTGGTCCCGGGCTTGAGCTGCTGTGGTCGCCGGTCTAGATTAACTCTGCTACGCGCCGTGCAAGATGCGGAAGGTGGTTTTGATCACCGGGGCGAGCAGGTGAGGCTTCCTACGGAACCCCGGAGGTTAAGTTACGGGATGCGGGGAAGCGCAGGTCGGTGACTCTGGACTCACTTCGGTGGGGATTCCACAGAGATCCTGCCCTGCCTTTCTCTGGGCCTCCCAAGAGGTGTGGTCATGCCTGCCCCTGTGGGTGCTTGGTAACTGGCGCTTTGAATTAAACATGACAGTGGAGAGGAAAACCAGAGCTCCAATTACTGATCAGCCTGACAGTGGTCCTGAGCCCTGGAGTGCTCTCAAGGGACCTGACGATTCCATTCAGACTCTGCCATCCCCCTCCATCAGTGACCCAGACTCCATTAGTTACTGTAGGTACCCTCAGTTTACTTTAACCCTAAACACGCGGTGTGTCTTACACTCCTGGAATTTAAATGTCAGCCTCCACGAACTTTACGACAATGGGAAATTTCATTCCTGCAGTATGCTTCGCATACTCTCCCCAGAAAGATCCAGATCAGTCGCTACCTGTTAAAGCTTGTCCTAATGCAGTCACCAGTTCATAGCTATTCCAGGCTTGCTCATTTTACCCTTGTCCTACTTTGTTGCCTACTAGGCTTATTTGTCCACGAAGAATGTGGAGAATGAAACCGACCAACCTTTCTCCCAGCTGGTTACATTGATATTTTTGAAGAATTCATACAGATCTAAATATGTCCGTGCTAACTAAGCCACTGTAGGAGGGATGTCTCTTGGGCTTTTTGTTAGCATGTTCTCTCCTTTAGGTCAGATGGTTTTAGTGGTTGTCATGTGGAAGGTGCATATAGAAGTTAGGCCTGATCTTGTGTTTCTTTTTATCCATGTTTGTGGTATGTACAATTGTATATTTATACTATAGGTCTGCTCTTTTGAAGGAAGGCTGAATAGGCCCGTATATGTTTGATACTCCTGGCAGGGCCACCCGATTATGTGAGCTCCAGACTCACTTTGGGGTTCCATTTGCTGGCAGTCGGCCTGAGAATTTATTAGTACCCAGGATGTCATTGCTGCCAGCAACTGGCCCCATCTGCTGGGCACTTTTCATATTGCTCTTTCTGACCTAGTGTGTCTAAGGCTTCAGTGAGCTATGCTCATTCACCCCTGCTTCTCTGTCTTACTCTCCATCTGATTTGTATTCGTACTTTATGCCACTTGCTCTGAGGGCCTTTTCTTTCTCTTGATTGTCCTGCTGTGATTTAGTAGCTGACCAGGAGTCAAGCTCCTGCCATGCCACTGTGCTTTCTTCTGGGGGATAGGAGAGCGACACAGAAACTCCCCTGTTCACTCATCGGGATTGGTGGTCTGCCTAATAGCAACAACACCAAGAGAAGGTAGAACACTTGCCTTTGAGGGAGCTAGACAGCACAAGAAAGTGGGGACATAATAAACAGCCTATAAGATCCTCTTCACAGCATTTTGTGGGGATATATTAAATCTCAGCACAACAGGTACCGCAAACCCTGCTTCCTGTGTCATTTAACTATTTTAGAGGGGAGAAACTAGATGTGAACCTAATCAAATGACTTATGGAGGGATTCCTTCCTTCACATGATGTTGGGTATTTTCTGTCTGCCCAGGCTTCTCGTGTTGACACAGTCAGGTTTCTGAACCAGAGAGAAATGTTTTTTAATGTCCGACCATTTCAGTGAACTCACGCCCTGTGCCTGGATTGTCTCCTCAGTGGCATCGGGCTGGCCCTTTGCAATCGGCTGCTGGCAGAAGACGAGGAGCTTCACCTGTGTCTGGCGTGTAGGAACCTGAGCAAAGCCGGAGCCGTTCGTGATGCCCTGCTGGCCTCTCACCCCTCCGCCGAAGTCAGCATTGTGCAGATGGATGTCAGCAGCCTGCGGTCGGTGGTCCAGGGTGCCAAGGAAGTCAAGCGAAAGTACGCCTCCTTTTGACAGATACGGTAGTGCCTCATAGCAGTTAATCAAATGAGAAAGGACAGGGAAGTAAGGGGAGGTAAATGAGAAGTGAATGTGGGACTGGGAAATGAGTTGTGCTGAGGGAGTCTGTGCAGAACGACCTCAGCCCTGAGAGCTTGGAAGTACCCTTTCCAGTGGGCAACACATCATTATGTCTGACACAGGTCTCTCCACCCACAGTCCTCTGTTCCCATAAGAAATACTGATGCTGTTTTTATCTAGATGACAACCCTTTCATCTTTGAATACACTAATTACATTGTTTGGTTGAAGCCAGAGCTTCATTTCCACATTTTACTAAGCCTTGCTTTTCCATGCCTAGGAAAAGAAGTTGCTATTACTAAAGTTTGTAAAATAGATAATAGAGCGATTAACCTGGGGTCCCACTGACTTCACCTCCACGATGAGTGGCGGCTATAGGGGCAACAGTGTCATTACTTAAAATAATCATTTCAGTAATTTGGCCCATATGGTTATGATATAGCATGATCAAGAAATGCAGGTGCATAATCCATATTGGCAGCCAAGCATATATTGCAAAGGTCCGATTTTGTTAGCTTTGCATCTGTCCTCGATTACGTGGAGGACACAGTGTGCTGCTTAGGGTTCCGGGAGATACTCTGAGCATGTGTGTTGCTTGAGTATCATGAGAGCACCTACTGCCTGCTTTGATCCTCCTTCCACAGAGATGTATTTATATTAAGGCTTACGACGTTCCAAAACTGGAAAAGTTCACTCAAGTGTGCGTTTCTCGGCTTCACCGTGATACGCATTCTAGAATAGGCCCACTGAGAATACCTAGTCCCCACAGGGCATTTACAGTTTTAGGGTAGGAAAGTAGCCATTAATCAGTTTATGATACATAGACCCTGGCCATGAGCACTGAGTGGTTTCCACTTGGGTCTTCTGTTTTGGTAGATACCAGGCCATCCAGATTCTAGCGCTCATCAGTCCAGTCAGGCCTGCAATACGTGATGTAAATTTAACTTGTCAACTATGGAAGTTGTGAACTGGGAAGAAGGGAAAAAAGGAGGAAGAGGAGGAGGATGGTTTGAGAGAGGGTGTTCAGTACCTGATTGGTGGGCTGCAGTTGGATTTTCCTAGAGAAATTTAACTTGAAAGCCCAATTGAAACCACCCAGAGCAGAGATACTCACTGTGGCTAGAGAAACTTCTGAGAAAGAACTGTTTTAACCCTGGTGTTTCATAGCCTGTGTGGCCATCTTAATGGGTTCAGAAAGGGTTTTCTGTCTTTGGACCTGTATTCTTGAGGAGGAGTGCACTCTTGTCTTACCTTTTCTAATAATGTCATTTTGGCATTTTGTTTGTAGGTTTCAAAGATTAGACTACTTATATTTGAATGCTGGGATCATGCCTAATCCCCAGCTAAATTTCAAAGCGTTTTTCTTTGGCATCTTTTCAAGGTAATTTTCATGTTCTAAATCAGTGGTTCTCAGCCTGTGGGTTCTAACCCATTCAGGGGTGGGGGAAGCTCAAACAACCCTTTCAGAAGGGTCGCATATCGGATAGCCTGCATATCAGATATTTACATTACGATTCATAACTAGCAAAATTACATTTATGAAGTAGCAATGAAAATGATTTTATGGTGTGTGTGAGGGGTGGGGGTCACCACAACATGAGGAACTGTATTAAAGCGTCACAGCGTTAGGAAGGTTGAGAATCACGGTTCTAAATGAACCGATTGCAAGAAAGGTATTCATTTTGCTGCCATGGTTTTTGCCTTTGTTGAATGAGGGGACGCTGAGGAGGATGAAGATCCATGGACAGGAGGAGTTGATCCATAGTAGCACGTCAAGTACTCGTCTTTGTGGAGAATGCCACACATTGTCATGATTTTTATAATGTTCTAAGACTCTGGAACATTCCATATTGTCAGATGGTTCATGCTGTCAGCATTTGATTTGGCTAAATGTGCCGCTGGCGGAACCGTCGTAGATATGCAGCATTCTTACACAGCCTCCAGCAACTAGCAGGCTGCACCAGAAGATGCCTAGCTACGTGCCAGCTCCTCTGGCCAGTAGGCCGAGAGGATGCGGACAACTCATGTCTGCCTGAGAGATTCTCAATACACACAAGTCTAGTGGCTTTCAAAGCTATCTAGCCATAAACCAGAGTCAGAAATAAGGCTTGTTTGCAACCCAGTGCGTTTATTCATAGAGGTTTTTGATGTGGGCTACGTGTTCACTTTCTCTTCACTTTTCTTCCATGAAGACGAAACATGCACAGATCCCACAGCTGTTTGATGCTCCTAGAATTGCTAGTGAAAAAGACAACCTGCTTAACTTTTTTTTCAGTAACCAAACACACTTGACGTGGCTGAAGACCTTTTCTCATTGGCATAGCTGTGATTGCCCAAGAATAAGTTACATGTAATCTGATTGGGTAATGGGAACAGGAAAGCATGTTAAGTACATCCATGAATTGGTGGAGTGGGGGTAAAACATTTAGTAACTCACTTAATACTCACACATGTTCATGAAGTTAGTATTTTGTCATTATTATCTCAAAGAAGGTCTGTTGTGTCTCTGTGTGTGTAACATCTTTAGTATTTTCAGTTAAAGGAGCATTAAAAGTCACTCCGCTGTCTTCTGCTGTTTCAGAAATGTGGTTCATGTGTTCTCCACAGCGGAAGGACTGTTGACCCAGAGCGACAAAGTCACTGCTGATGGGTTCCAGGAGGTGTTTGAAACCAATCTCTTTGGCCACTTTATCCTGGTAAAAAAAAAAAAAAAGGCTTCGATCATACTAATTCCATCCTGTTACTGTGATCCTGAGGGCATGAATGGACACGTGACTATTTTGTGAAGGCTCCTTAATGTCTGGTTACCATGAAATCTTTGAATAATCAAGTCTGTCCACTGGCCCCTGGAAATGTTGCTTACCTAGAACAGAGGAAGCAGATTACCAGACACCAGTCACCTTTTGAAACGACGTATATAACAGCAGAAAGAGCACATTTATTCTGTCCTAAGTAGTTCTACAAACTGGGCTTGGCATCAGATAGACTAGGATAGCCAGCGTGCTGTCGTTAGACACAGGTAGCCTGGGATAGCCAGCGTGCTGTCATTAGACACGGGTAGCCTGGGATAGCCAGCGAGCTGTCGTTAGACACGGGTAGCCTGGGATAGCCAGCCTGCTGTCGTTAGACACGGGTAACCTGGGATAGCCAGCCTGCTGTCGTTAGACACGGATGCAGATTATCATAGTTTCTTTTTATTGTCATAGTTTCTTCTTAAGAGCCATACCTGGAAGTACAGTTCTCGGCACATATAGCAGATTCAGCATGAAATGTGTGACTATCTAGGGTGTTCTGTGAGGTTGCCTCTGGCACACTCTTATGGGACAGCTTGCACAATAAGTGAGAAGTGATGACTAACACCTATATCCCAATGCTTAGGCTGAGATAGGAAGATTGCTGCAAGCTTGAGGCCATCTGGGGCTACAGTGTGAGCCCCTTTCTCAAAATAAGCAAACAATATTGAAATAAAAAGAGGTAATGATAGAGAATTAATTCATTAATAATATTGATAGTCTTAAGTTTGATGAATCTATGGTGTACAGAGTTAAATTGTTAGGAAAACCAATGAGAGCTGTGGTCATGGGGCAGTCATCACAGGTGTCCTAGTATGTCTTTATGTAGGCAGACATGTCATCGGGGGGAGGGGTGTGCATTTCAGAACCCACTTACCAGATTCTAAAGCTTTGCAATGCCTTCTATTTCAGTTAGGTTTAAGAATCTGACCTCAGTTCAGGAAACACAAACCTGAAATTAGGGGTCATGTGTAAATGAACAAACAGATCCATTGCTGGTTTGATTAGCGTGTAAGGATACTGACCAGACACCCATCATGGTGGTAATGTGTAACACGAGGGCTGGCTTGTTGGGGTTTCTGTCCTGCCCAGTACCCCACAGCCGGCAAGCCCAAAGAAAATCACACACAGGACTTCATAAGATTATAAACTGATTGGCCCATTAGGTCAGGCTACTTATTAGCTCTTATAACTTATGTTACCCCATTATCCTTATCTACATTAGCCACACGGCTCAGTACCTTTCTCAGCTGGGCAGCTTACATCTTTCCTCTCCTTTGGTCTGGTCAGAACTGTGGAGGGAGCTTCCTGCTTCCCAGAATACTCCCAGTCTCTGCTCCACCTCTACTTCCTGTCTGGCTTTCCCACATATACTACCTGCCTGGCCAGTCAGCGTCTTATTAAACTATGATTGACAGAATACAGACAATTCTCCCGCACCAGTAATGAGTTGGGATTCTTTTTGTGAGCTCCAGGTTCAGTGAGATCTTACTGCTGAGGAATGGGTAACTGACTACTTGGTTTTATATATGGAGTTTTTCCTGGTTGTGTTCGGCTTATTTGTCCACTGAAGCATGGGGCACATCTGGAAGTTTTGTTGGCAGATTTTTCTTTAATGAACTAATGTTTTCCAGTAGTTGTAGATTTACAAAACTTTGGCAAAGATAGTACAGCGAGTTCTTGTGCATCCTGTATTCAGTTTCTCTTATTAACATTTTATGCCAGTACGGTACATTTGTCAAAATAAATGATACAGTATTGGTATGTTATTTAGTAGGTCTATACTAAAGTTGCCAGTTTTCTAAAGTCTCATTATCAGCTCTGGGATTCGATCAAGGGTACCACATACATTCATTTTATAGTCAAGGTTCCTTAGGATCTTTGCTGTGGGAGTTTCACAGTCTTGCCTTGTTTTTGAGGACCTCGCCAGTTCATGGGCTTGCTTCCCAGGTGTTTTACAGACTGTCTCTCAGATTTCCTGATGTTTATCTCATGGTTAGTCTGCAGAATGTTTTTGGAAAGACTGTAAATATAAATTCCTTTCTCATCACCTCATATCAAGAGTACATATTCCAAGGCAAGGCATGTTTGGCACATGCTTATAATCCCAGCACTTGAGAGACAGAGAAGATTGAGAGTTCAGAGCCAGCCTGTGGATGCAGTGAATGGACCATAGTGTAGAGCATACTGAGAGCCTAGCTCAGAATGACCATGACAGAGTTTATGGCCTTTCCTTGTTGGCCTGATCACCTGACTTGGGGTGTCTTATCGGGTGTTTTAAATTGTTAGCATATGCCTCTCAGTGGATTGTGAAGCCTTTTATTCTGTGTCTTCTTCACTCAGATCCGGGAACTGGAACCCCTTCTCTGCCACAGCGACAGCTCCTCCCAGCTCATCTGGACCTCCTCTCGCAATGCCAAGAAATCTAACTTCAGCCTTGAGGACATTCAGCACAGCAAAGGCCTGGAACCCTACAGCTCCTCCAAATACGCTACCGACCTTCTGAATGTGGCTTTGAACAGGAATTTCAACCAGAAGGCAAGGCTGGTCTCAGAGATCCAGAAGTTAACTATCAAAGTCGCTATTTGTAGAGAGTGGCTGGCTTCCGCTAGTTCTCATAGTGAAAGCCTCCTGGGAGAGATAAACAGCTCCTGTTTTCTTAGGGAGGTGCAGATTGTTTACCAGGCTATATTCTTCAGGAGCGCTGACCTCTGCTAACAGATGGCCCCTGACCGCTTCCAGTGCTGTACTCTCCTCCTCTGATGGCACTGAGTGTCTTCCCCGCTGCAGCTGGGTGGCTTCAGTATTCCCGTTTGCAGATGAGAACTCTTGAGTTTGGAGAAGAGGAGTCATGTACTCAAAGGTCACATGGCTGGTGAATGGCAGAGCTTACAGTAGAGTGTAAGGCTGACTTTTTCCCTGCTAAGCCTCATGCTTTTTAGCCTCTGTCATGCCGATGACTGAAGGGCAGCCAGATGTCATAAGCCTTCTGGAAGGTGATGATAAGATTCCGCTTTGTTTCTGTAAGGTTACAGAGTATAGAAAGAGAAAAATAACCTTATCGGTCATACTGCTTCTACTGACCACAGCCGCCTGGAAATCCCTGCTGCTGTGGATTAATCGACTGCGCAGGTCCAAAATCTTAACAGAAATTCTTTCCCATGGGCATTTCTGGTTGTCATTGCAGCTCAGAGTCGTGTGTTGGTCCAACTATGCATTTCCTTCTAGCATTTTTGAGCTCTTTAAAACCTGTCCAAATCCTGTCCACATTCCCTTTTTAGAAGGTGGGGTCAAGCTGAATTTCGTTTTTCATAAAAAGCTCTGGGATTTTATTTACATTCTAGTTGTCAAGTACGGTGTGGAATTTTATCTTTTTGAAAAGAAAGGGAGAGTGATTAAGTTGATGTGGCTCTGTCTTAAAGTCTGTCAGATTTGCTTTCAGCCCACGATTTTTTTTTCAGTATTCCCAAGAAAGAATTAAAAAGAATTACATTGGCGGATTCCATTTGAAGCATTTCTAATGATATTTTTCACACTTTTGGTTTACTTTTTTTTAAAAACAAATTAATCATTGTTTTAGGTTTTTTGGTGTTGGGGAATCAAACCTGGGCCTTTGCACTTGGTGCCATTTCACTTGAGCTATGACCTCAGCTCTCCGGTGACGGGTTTCTGTTTTATCTCCCTGTCTCGCTCTTTCTTCAGCATCTCGTACATTCCAGGCTGGCCTCAAACACCATCATACCTGATTTCATACATGCCAGGCAAGCACTCTGTCAACTGAGCTACAACCCTAGAGCAACCCTTTTTGAGACAAGGTGTCAGTGTGTAACTTTGACTGGCCTTGGACTGTTATGTAGTTTATGTGATCCTCAAATTCAAAATTCTGCCTCTTTCCAAGGAACGAGCTACTTTGTATGGCCATTTTCTACTTTTTATTTAAAAGGAAAGAGAGAAAAAGAGATTAAAAGTTGCAAGAATGAGTTAAAATAATCACTCTGACAATAATATAAAATGAGGTAAAATTAATTAAGCTGTAGGGCTTACTGTGGTTGGCACAGGGTAATTCTTATTACCATAATCCCAAGGCTTTCTTTATAGAGCCATATATCTCGTCATATATATGTATGTCTCTCTCTATATAATATAATATATACATGTGTGTGTATAAATGCAAACATATACCCACAAGTATATGATAGACCCTTACATAGTGATCAGCCTTCACTAAGGATCTGACTAGAGATCTTGAGTTGAAGGTCTTTGTTCCTCCTGATGCCAAGAGCGTCCAACTCAGCTGTGTACCTATAGGTCAGTGGTTCTGAACTGTCCTAATGCTCTGACCCCTTTAATACAGTTATCATGTTGTGATGACCCCCAACTATAAAGTTATGTTTGTTGCTACTTCATAACTATAGTTTTTTTACTATTATTACTTGCAATATAAATATTTTTGAGGTAGAGGTTTGCCATAGGGGTTGTAACCCACAGATTGAGAACCTCTGCTTTAGGGAAACAGCATAAATTTTAAATTTAGCCACTATATTTAATTAATTAGAATCTAGTTGAAGGCAAGAATTAAGCTCAGTAAGCCTGTTATATACTTATTGGGAATGATGCATTCATCTTTAATTAAGCCAGTAATAGAAAATCTTGATAGTCAGGCCCCACATTCCTTTCCCATCATCAAGACTGGCTCTTCTTTAAACTACAAATGTCTTGAGAATAGACTTAATCTTGCTAATAACTTTTGCTTCCTTGACCTAGTAAGTGATTTCAGACTTAAATGGTCCTGCTAAGTGACCAGGACACCTGAGAGTGCATACCTTCCATTCCCCGTTTTCCCGGCTTGTGTGTGTGTCTTTTATTAACGCATCCATGAACTGGGTCAATATGCATCCCATGAAAATCTCAGTGCGACTCTCTTGTGTTCCCAGGGTCTGTATTCCAGTGTGATATGCCCAGGGGTAGTACTGACCAATCTGACATATGGAATTCTACCTCCCTTTGTGTGGACATTGCTCTTGCCGCTGATATGGCTGGTAAGTGGTAAACATTTATTATTTATTTATTTATTCTGGGTTATGAAATATTAAGAGTTCAACTCTGAGTAGCAGACTTCCATTCGGCTTGACACTCTGATGTGTGGTAATCATAAATGCAAATTTTCTTTCTTAAATCTAAGTGAGAAATGATTACTTTTTGTTACTGCTCTAAATAGCCACATAACAACCATTGTTTTCTTTTCGTCAGATTCGCTTTTTTGCAAATGCTTTCACTCTGACACCGTACAATGGAGCAGAAGCGCTGGTATGTTACTAGAGTTTCATCGTCTACAAAATGGCTTAGTGATGGAAGGTGCACGTTCGCTGATGGCAGCGAGCAGTGTCAGGGTAAAAGGCTGTAAGGTGGTGGTTCTCAACTTCTTGAGTTGCAATCCCTTTGGGATCTAATGACTGTGTCCCAGGGGTCGCACATCAGATACTTACACTATAATTCATAACAGTAGCAAAATTACAATTGTGAGGTAGTAACAAAATAATTTTATGGTTGGGGGTCACTGCAATATGAGGACCTGTATTAAAGGGTTGCAGCTTTAGGAAGGTTGAGAACCACTGCTCGAAGGTAACAAACTCTGTGGACAAGCAAGTTCCATTTGGGACTAAGGTAAGTATTATGTTACACACAAGATATCAGAAGTTTGACAATTAACGTCTGCTGTGACGTTGGGTACATGACTATAGACAACACACTTCTGTAGAAGCAAGCTGCACCAGGAGCCGCAGAACAGGTGGCAGGATACGGTCGAGTCAGTTAAAGCAAGGAGGTGACTAGTGAGTGAGTTCCCATGGGGGAGGTGTTCCTTGTGGGACAAACATCGAGGCAACAAGCCCTCTTGTCTTCTGTAACGAGTTTTCTTCCTAGAGCCGGCAGGTGGCTCTGTGGTTAAGAACGCGTTCTTGTGGATGACCCACTTTGATTCTCAACACCCATGTGGCGTAACTGTCTTTAACTCCAGTTCCAGCACCCTTTTCTGACCTCCACAGGCATCTGGTATGCACGTGACATATATACAGACATATATGCAAGTAAAACACTCATCCACATAAAATACATCTAAAGAAAAAAATGTAAAGATTTTTCTTTCTATCTTGGTACTAGAGGATCAAGGTATTAGAGGATCTTATTAGGAAAATAGGATTTCCTTGAATGGTGCCTAACGGTGGGCTGTGTGTTTCCTCGTCCAGGACAGGAGTTACTGCTGAGCTGTAGCTGTATTTTCTTCTGTATTACACCCCACAGACAGCCTCTACTTGTGGTTCAGAATTCTCACCCAGGAAGAGACTTGCCGTCTGTTCTTCATGCCTTCTGATTGGAGTCCCGCTGTCTTAGTTCTGAAGGCTGGTACTCAATCTACCGAGTCCTGACTTTTATCCTAGAAACTTGAGGGCTAGTACTTTGAGGTCCAGGTTTGACTGCTTCTTAAATCTTGACCAAATTGAGTTTGGAGGAAACATGAAGGGAGTGATAAGCGTTAAAGAATCAAATATGTTCTTGTGTAGACAGAAATTGATTGTGAAAACAAGTGCTCTTAGACGGTATTGGTGTAGAGCCTAAGATATAAGAAGCCTTAGTGTGCAGTCCCTGAGGAATTTCTCCTTCTGCACATCTGTGGTGTGAAAAGGCTTGTCTGGGCTCACACATGTTCCGAGCGTCAGTGGTGTGAGGTATATTTAGAAGAGAAAAATCCTCTGATACAAAGTAGCTTAGAGTTAAGTTTGTGAAAGTAATGAATCCAAATAATAGGCAAGAAAGCAAGGCATCTTGTCATTGGGTGGGGAATGTGGGACCCACTGGGACTGGTGTCGTCAGAATTGACTTTGATTAGAGTGGAGCTAGATCTGGACTCTGAGGGACCAGGCGATTTGGATAGGATGAGCACCAGGATCCTAGTGTCGCAGTTGAAAAACTTCATTGTGAAGGGCAGCTCAGTGGTGAGTACTGCTGGCCTTGTTCAGTTCCCAGCACTCATAAGGCAGCTCACAACTCTCTGTAGCTCAACTTCTAAGAGTTCTAATGCCTCTGTATGCATATACATATATGCAGGAAAAATACCCATAGAATAAAATCCATGGTGATCTTGCTGTAATTTTCTGAAATGTACGTGAATAGAAGGGCATCATCCCAAACGTCATCCGCCAATGTCTGGAGATGCTGTCAGGGGTGGATGCGATGGTAGGGCATCATGTGGGCAGTTAGGGTCTCCCTCAATGGCTATGTAAGTTTTGCCTCCTCAGGAGGGGAGTTTGAGCTTGAGCTGGGGCATAGGCCAAGCATGAGGATGTCAGGATTGTGGTTACCATTCAAACCCAAGTTCTCTGGTTCCTGGCTTGGAACCCTCGAGCATGTTTTTCATCTATCTAGGCTTTTATTTTATATAAAATAAGAACCAGAGCAGTGAATGGAAGCAGGGGCATTGCAGAGACTCATATTTTAGGAGTTACTTTATCAATAACAAATACAATCTGATGGCTCAGTGGCGCAGAGTAGGAAGTTTAGAAATCAGCCCTTAAACGTACAGAGAGTTAGTGTGTGCTGATAATCAGAGTTGGAGGGAAAAGATGCCCTTTTTAGCAAGGATGTAGCCAAAAGGGAGTTTATGATCTTGATTCCCTGCCTTCCCCCAGAATAATGTTCTAGATAGGGGAAGAGGTTTATATATCAAAATTAAAACCTAAAATTCTTAGAAGAAAATATGAGAAATTTATGGGACACTTCAGAATGCAAAGGCTTATCTGAGTGTAGACACTCTAAAAGAGTGGAAATTAAAATAAAATTTGTGTGGTCCCAGAGTCCACTATAAATAAAGCACAAGGCAGAATGCAAACATCTGTCTTAGATCAAGGTAAATATTTTCTTAGTAAATCGAGACTCCCAGCAAAGGGAAGACAGCCCTTGTCGGAGTCACAGGCAAAAAAGTCAGACATGAAGATTCTGAACACATTCAGTCATGTGAAAAGATTCTTCATCACAGTGATGCTAAGAGAAGTGCAAATTCAATCTATAATTCAGAGCCAGCTCAGATGAGCAGAGCTTAGGACATCTGATCCAGGGCTGTGATGGCTGGTGATAAGGAAGTAGAACGCTTGTGCACGGCACAGCTCCTGTGGAGGACTCACGGGCAAGATGAGCCAAGTATTAAAGGCGCATACCCTTCACCAAGAACTTCCATTTTGGCATTACTTCTATAGATGCACTCATCATCCGTTGTGGTTTAGTTTGTGATCATAAAGACTGCAGTCTGCTGCATATATCCTTTAATTAAAAGCTGAACACATAAATTACAGCTCATGCCCAAAATGGGATGCTGTGCTTTCAAAAGCAAACAAAACAGCTCAGTATACACAGATTTGAAAATCTGTAGGTTTGTTGTTCAAGAGAAAATCTCTGTGTGTTGTGCTTCCATTTAAGAGAGAAGGATGTGTTTCTCAATGAAGGTATGTCTTGCCGTGACCACACATGCTAGAAGAGTGGGTTACTCCCAGAGGTGTAAGCTAAGTGGCTGCAAAATAGGAAAGGAAAGAAGACCTCCTTTTTATACTGTGTACATCTTGTGAACATGTGCATCTTCTCACTGATAATATCCCAGCGACCTGTGGTTTGCTGTGGTGTGGACCCACAATGACACTGAATTAACCAGTGTCTGAGACATGTATTTATGTGGGAATTAAGGGAGAAGGTAGGTGAAGTTTTGTTTTGTTTTTTGCTTAGGTTAACTCTCAAGTCACAGGCTGCCTTATATTCTCCCTTCAGAACATGACAGCTCTTTCCAAAGATCCTTAGATTAGCTGCTGCTTTTTGAGAGGACTCTTGCGATTTCACGGTGGAGTTCTGTAAAGTACCAGTGGCAAATCTCGCTTGCTTGTGGCAGGAGCGGTGTCACTGACATGTTTTATCCTTCCAGGTGTGGCTTTTCCACCAAAAACCCGAGTCTCTCAACCCTCTGACCAAATACCTGAGCTTCACCACAGGCTTTGGGACTAATTATGTCAAGGGTCAAAAGGTAAGTTGGTTTGTGTTGTCGTGTGGAAGATGTTGCCGGTCTGATACTCCGGACCCATGACGCTGACAGATGAGCCGCACAGCTCTGTGCCTGAGCCTTCACTCTGGCGTCCTCAGGGTCTGTTTCATTGCTTTCTGTTCCCTCCAGTCTCAGAGCATCTTCTTCCCACTAAGCCACTCTTACCTGTGTTTCTGTTGATGTCTTCACATCCTTCAGACCCCACCTTCTTCTCAGTCTTCTGTGTCTCTTTAGACTGGGCCCTGGGCCCTGTTACGGGATTTCTCAGACCTGTTCTGGGTGGCACTCACCCTCAGCTGCCTCTGTCAGCATGTAAGCTTCGTGAGAGGGATTATACCTGCTTCCCTCGTATGCTGCCTCAACATGGAGACTCTTAATAAATACATCCTGAGTTGTATGGAACAGAGAACGTCTTTCTTTGGGACGATAATATCTCTTGGAATGCACATTCTGTTTGAGATTATTAGCAGCATTGTTAGACAGATGCTTAGAAGAGATGGGTAAAATAGAAAAAAATCAATTTCGTCTTTTGAAATCTAATCTTAAAAGTAATCATATAAAATTACTTTGTGGGGGAAGTGAGAATATTTACTTGGGACTATAAGAACATGCTGTAGCTGTGTCACCAGCAAGGTTTATTGTAGTCGCCTGCTTTTCCCATCCCCGAACTGAGGCTGCATTGGTATAAAACACAACTAGATTGAGGCAAGCAGGTGACCTCTGTCTGTTTGGCAGCAGCATGAGTCCAGTGACAGCCAGCCTCGTATGATGCTTCCTATGTCACCTGCTGATAAAAACCAGCCTTTCATAGGAAGTGTGTATTGGATACCAGTGACTTGGAAACATTTTTGAGAAGTGGTTTCTCAGGCAGGTAGAGTTGACCCTTCGCACTGTCTTTCCTTGCTGGGCTCCCCACAGCGTATTAGCCCAGGCATGGCCTTGAGATGTTGAAACAGTTAAGTGGTGGAGAGGCGATGTGGTTGATCATTTACAAATTGTTCTTTACTGCATTTACATTCTGTCACCTGGAGCCCAGGAGATGAGACTTGAGGGATTGGGTTCAGGTACAGCCTGAACCTCCTTTTAGTCCTGGCAAGAAGGGAGCAATGCCCCTTCCCTTCCTTTCCCCTCCCCTCCCCTCTAGGATTGTTTATTTGTTTTTGTTTGGTTTTAGGACTGAGTCTCACCACATTACTCTGGGTGGCCTAGAACTCTGTCTTTGTTAGGGCTTCTGTTCCGTCATAAACGCTGCAACAAAAGCCACTTGAGGAGGAAAGGGCTGATTAAGCACCTTATACTTCCATATCACAGTCCTTCATGAGAGAAGTCGGGGCAGGAGTCTGGAGTCACACACAGAAGCAGAGACCATGCAGAACCGCTTACTGGCTTGCTCCCTGTGGCTTGCGTACTTTGCTTTCTGAAGATAGCACCCAGGACCGTCATCCCAGAGATGGCACTGCCCTCAGTGAGCAGGGTTCTCCCGCATCCCTCACCAACCAAGAAAATGTCCCACAGGCCAATCTTGTGGAATCATTTTCCTCCACTGAGGGTCTGTCTTTCAAAATGACCATAGTTTGTGTCACAGTGGCATAAAATTAGCCACACAAACTGGCTGCTTCACCAGGTTGACTTGCAGAGGTGGATCTCAGGTCTGCCTGCCTCTCTGCCTTCTGCCTTCTGGATGGAAGATAAGCATGCTCCCTGCTTTGAGTTGGGGTTTTTGTTTGTTTGTTTAACTCAAATTTCAGTTAACTACTGATATCTTAACATCCAAACTGACATATTTTGTGAAATTCCGTTGCAATTTAATAAGCTCACTTTAGGAATTTCAGAGTTTATTTAAATTTTTAAAAATTGCTATTTTATAACCTTACAGGGAGTGATTTACTTATCAGGGGAAGAAAACGTTTAATTTTACAAACTCAGGCATTTCATATAATTTTCTATGAAGTTCATTGGAGAAAATATTTTAGATTTTGATTCATTGGTAGAAATGTGCTCTCCCCTCTGCTAACTGAGAGGGGGAACTAGGGATAGATCTTGGAGGAGGGCAAGTCATTGTCACCAGTGGTGTCCATGAGCCTCTGCGCTGCGGTGACCTCCTCACCCAGGCACTTGTGGACCACCCTTAAACCCAGTTTGTCACAACGAAAAGACAAAACAGCATGAAAGCAGGAAGAGGGAGGAGTGGGAGTGGGGGCATAAGAGAGGGTGGGGATGAGTGTAATAAAAACACAGAATTGTTGAGGAATGAATTTAATTTAAAGAAAACAAAGGTGGGAATAGACAGGCGAGTTCTATAACATCTCCAGTTTCAAAATGAAGAACTAACAGGATTAAATGTGGATAAATGTTACATCCAAATTGTTAAGAAGTTTCCTTAATCCTTAGTCTTTGAGTTTTAAGACGATCCTCTTTTACTGACCTGGAAAAGGAGATAGCCTGACTGTAGCGGCTGAAAGTGCTTCTCCTTAGCAGTTTAAACTAAGATTTTCTGCAGGAAGAACAGGAATGCAAAATACTAGTGACTTCAGATAGACTCTCCTATTTCTTACACATGGAAGCACTTTGGAGGGGGTGAGCATCTGTAGGAATTCAGACCTGTAGCACTATTAATAAAAACCCAGAGACAGATATCGGGGTTCAACCTAAAGGTCAGGAAAGCAAAATAGCCAGCCACTGGCTTTTATCTCTACCTTAGTCCGATCCTGCCTCCAGGAATCTCAGAATGAGACTGTGTGAGATATTATATAGTCCTCTCTCATGCAGAGGTTAAAGACTGTGTGTGAGAGCTGTCTCCTCCCGTATTATAGTCTTCTCTAGGACTGGGATTAAGGACATGCATCACTACCTCTCTGTTTCTATGGCACACTAGTCTGGCAACTGGAATTAAAGGTGTGTGTCACCACTGCCTGGTTTGTAAGGCTCACCAGTGGGGCTGTTTTACTCTCTGATCTTCAGGCAGTCTTTTTTTATTAAAATACAAGTGAAACATCACTACAGACTTCCTTTCTACCCCCGTTTCCTTTAGCACGTGCTTGGGTACTAGGAGACAGTAGGAAAAAACACCTGCACTTCATATCTTTGCAAGCAGTGGGAGGTTTGGTGAGTGCTGAATTTACATGAGGATTTATGGCCTCAGTATTTCCCAGTGGTTCCTGAATGGTTCTTTCTGCCCCATCCCAGCTTCAGGTTCTCTTGAACGCATGGATGCCCTCCCTCCACTTTCATGCGGTTTGTTTTATTTTTCTCTTGTAGTCATTTCTATTTGTGTTTGTTTTCCAGATGGACATAGATGAAGACACCGCTGAAAAATTTTATCAAACCTTACTGGAACTGGAAAAAAGCGTTAGGATCACTATGGAAAAATCAGATCACCCCAGCTGATAGCGACATTCTCCTGAGCATCCAGTACCTTCTGTACCTTCTGGGGCACATGGCTTTCTGTTGTGCTGGATGATACACACTTGTCGTAAACCATAAGCCATGATGATCTCTGCTCCTACCTTTCAGAATGATCTCTAGGACTCTGTGTGCGCACATGTGTGCAGGCATGCACACACATGTGAGAAAGGTTGGGCAAAGTAGAGGACCCAAATAAATGCCTTCCAGAACAGTGTCCTTTCAGAATTGCTAGAGGCTTCCTACAGAGCATCTGCATAGAGCATTCTGTCACCTGGAGCCAGTAGATGAAGCTTGAGTGACTGGGTTCGGGTACAGCCTGAACCTCCATTTAGTCCTGGCAAGGAGGGGGCAGTGCTCCTTTCCTTTCCTTTCCTTTCCTTTCCTTTCCTTTCCTTTCCTTTCCTTTCCTTTCCTTTCCTTCTTTTTTCTTCCTTTTCTCTATGTTTGTTTTCCCGCTCTCTTTATTTTCTTCTTCACATGCTGCTTCAGATAATCTTACACGATCGGCCACCGAGCGGTCCCCACGTGACTGCCCGCGGTCAATCTCAGGAGCAAAGTGTGAACACTTTGGGCCACGTGCATTCTTTCTTTTCTTTCGAAGCGTTTTGTTTTTTATTGGAGTGGAAGCCACGGTGAGCCTGGTCTTCAGTAACATGGGCAGATGTGTTTGTTATGAAGAGCTTATCTTCATGGTCGTATTTCACTGGAATTAAATTTATGGCAAAAGTTATTTATTCACGTTTCAATAAAATGTAAAAACAAATAGAAAAGTCTGAGACACTACTATGAGGCCTAGTGCCGGCATCTGGTGCACAGTGGAAGGAGGAAGAAATAGTTCATTTGTGTGTGTCTGATGATGAGTTTTCCAAATCCTTTTCTCTATGAAACTGAAAGAACCACACCTGAGCATCCTTTGGTATAAGTCAGAATGCTAAAGATGACTAGATTTTTTTTTTATCATAAATAAAGCCATTCCATTACCTGGGATATAAGGTAATCCCGGTAAAATTTTGAATGAAAGTCAAAAAATGGTATATTAATATAATTTCCCTACAGCTGGTGCTATGAAAATTTGCTGATTAGAGCTTCTCTAATTTTATTGACCAAGATTATTTGTAAAGATACAGGTGAGAATGAATGCACGCCCCTGCCCCTCCCCCATCTTTGGGAAAGGAGGGTGGAGCTTAGCATGATGGCTGTTCTTTCATTTTCATCCACCCAGAACTCCCATTTGGAAAGGGCTCCTCCTCCATGGTAGGCTCACATTTCTCACGTGTGAATTGAAACCTCTTTTTTGCTCATGGGTTTGCAATGAGGAGGGGATTGACGATCTCTGTGGACCGTGTGGACTGCTAGAGAGTGAGGATGTTCCTTAGAGATCAGAAAGCCAGAGCATGGGGGTTCAGACCCCCCCACACACACACACCTTGTAGGGCGCTGACTGACCACAGTCCTTTTGACGGTTCTGTTCCCCAAGCATTTCCAGGAGGCAGCATGGGACACTGAAGGATGGAATGGGGAGAATTGTAGGCCCTGGGGCTGGGCAGTCATAATCTAATCTGGCCTTGAGAGTGGAGTAGCTTGGGCTTGGGTTGTTGGTGAATTTGGAAAAACATGCCCTTTTCCAGTGTTGTCAGCTTACGACCAGCAGGTTATTCATTTCTTTTTACCAGTTGGATTAGTAATTCCCTCTGGTTTCTTCTTGATGCTGATGTCTCTTCCTTGTCTGTGGTACAGGAAGTTTTCCATTTTGCTGGTGTTTTCAGAGAACCATGTTTCCGCCTCACTGAATTCTTTTCTCTCCCCAGTTTCTTATATATTTTTCATTGAGATTTTAGCTCTGCTTGTTTTAATTATCTTCATTTTGCTTTCATTGGATTAAAATAAAGCATTTTCCAGTTTCTAGACATAAAAACTTAGGTTACTTGTTTAAAAGCTTTTCTTCATGGCTAGGGTAAGTGTTTAGTTATAAGCATTTAATGACAGAAATATCCCTCTCAGATGGTTTAACGGGATCTCATGTTTGCTGACAGGCTACCTTTTATTTTCTTCCTTTAAGCCCTAGACTATTTTATTACTTTCTGTTGAGGTTTCCTTTTATGAATTATTAGAAGTTATTTAATGTTGATACTTTTAGAGGTTTAAAAGGTTGGTACTTGACTGGGGAGATGCTCAGTGGTTGAGAACACTGGTTGCTCTTCCTGAGGACTCAGGTTCGATTCCCTGCTTTACCTCATGGCTCACAAAGATATAAAACTCCAGTTCCAGGGGATCCAATGCCCTCTTCTGGCCTCTGTGTATACCAGGCGTGCAGAAGATGCATAGGCATACATGCAGACAAAACACCTGTATACATAAAAGTAAACAATTCTTGCGAGAGCTGGTACTGGCTTCTAGGTATAGTCTGTTGGGGTTTTCTAGTTTCAGCTTGGTATAGTCAGAGTGCATTGAGTCCTAGTTCTGCATGAAATTTTTTGAATTTTGTTTATGGCCCAGGATCTGATCTGCCTGGAGCAGTCTGTGGTTTTTCCTTCACACCATGCCTGCTCGTATTTCCTCCTTAGAACACTGGGGATTGCTCTCTTTGTACCTTCTACAGAGTTCATGGCTGCTTTCCCAGCAGGTGTCGTGTGGGAAGGCCACACCACGCTATTGAAAACAGTATTTCTCATCTTCATACCGGTCTTCGTTTCTGTTATAATTTCACTCTTCAATTTCCTGTGTTCAGTTAGTTTTTCCTGTTCTGTGTCCATTTCTGGTTTTAGTTATTTCAAAATTTTGATGAATTTTATTGTTAATTTGTATTATTTATTTGTTTTTCATGCTGGGGCACATTGAATTTAGGGCTGTGGAATCCATCCTCTCCTTTGTGGGTGATCCCTGGGCAGGCATGCTGTACATGATAGTTGTCAATTGAAGCTTTTAGTTGGTGCTGTTTTGTTTTCTTCACGCCTCAGTGAGGTCTTTTGATAGTTGATCGAATCTAACATTCCATCATGGACCTCAGGTTTTACCATCCTTATCAACCTTCTGAAAAACAAAACACGAAACATTTACCTGAGGGCTGGAGAGATGACTCAGCACCTAAGTGCTCTGACTGCTTTTCCAGGGAACCCAGCTTCACTACCCAGCACACACATGGTAGCTCACGAGCATCTCAAGTTTCAGAGGACCCTGTGTTCTCTCTGGCTTCTGTGGGCACCAGACACAAGTGGTGCACAGATATACATGCAGGCAAAATACTCATACACATTAAAATAAATCTTAAAAACAGAATTCCAAACGAAAAAAACATTAATTTGGGGGGGAGTATAAAGTTGTGATAAAACTAAAATCTGTGCATATCACCAAATGCTTTCCTTCTTACACTAAAAGCCGCCTGATAGGCATCTAGGAGCAGGCTGCTACCCAGGTTCCTTTTCCTGCTCCTCTCCAAGCTAACCTGGAGTGCACCCTCCCGTCCAGCTTTTAGGAGCCCAGCCACATTTGAAGCCTTTACTCTGAGAGACATATACCAGTGTTGAATTACTTTATTTTTCTTGTTTTGATGGAGTGTGCTTTAGAAATCACCTATTTTGTGTCAAACTGTGTGTTCACGTATCTTGCCATTTCCTGTTTGATTTTCAACCTTTGAACATAAGAGATATTACCTATATAATAAATAATGAAGCTCTTGTCTAAACATCTTTTATTTATCTAAAATTTGTACTTGTTTCGCTTGCTTATTGTCCTCTGACATACCAAAGGACCAGCTCCAAGACCTTTTGTTGTTCTGACTTGTATTTATAGTGTTCAATCAACGGCTGGCATTTACAAGGCTCTTGATAAATATATGAACAATTGATTGAACAAGTGTTTATATGAATAAAATAATTGTGCTATTTTGGTTGGCTCAGTTGATTTTTTTATTCTGCCAAAATTTTAAAAAGCTACAATTTATATTAATCTGGAATAATACTCAAATACCAAGCTAGAGTTTACTGAGGCTCTGTCATGTTTTTCTAATTTTAGAACATTATGTTACACTAATAAATATGCTTCCTTCTCATGTCATTGTTGTCTGTACTTGCAAGTTAACGCCTGAAGGACAATTTGCCAGTGTTTATCAGAAGTTAAAGGGCATGAGCCTTTAGCAATTCAGCCTTTCTACATGTATCCTAAAATTATAACTCAAATGCATACAGAGTGTCAGGGTTACTGTCACCTTTTGGAAACCCTTGGTGCTAATATGCTTTGAAAATTAAAGTTGCTTGTACTTTGGAAGGATAAGTTGGTGCACACAATCTGTATGCTTTGTAACTGCCCTAGAGGGAGTTGGGATAACCTGTAATCAAAGCCAGTTGTGTGTCAGCGAAAAGGATGCGGGAATTCACATTAAAGCACTATAAAATTATAAATAGCCTCACAGCAGCTCAGCTGCCAAAGGAGTGTGCCAAACATTTGAGAGATATTCAGCGTTCTGTTCCAACTTTGGAATTGTAGGTAAGGGATTTTAGGCCAACATAACAATGTTCACTGCAGCTTCTTTGTCCACTCACAGCAGGAGAATACAAAGAACCTAAGCATGTTTCTCCAGTCTTTAGGATGCTAGATAAAGAATGATGTCATTTCCATAAAATACAATAAAACTAATAGTATTATAAAACAAGCGTTTAAGAAAGGAATGAGGCAAGTCCATATGGATTGTGGGTTGGTTGAATAAAACCAGATTCTGTAGAAGGCGGGGAGGGAGGGTCCCTGCGCTCACAGATAAGAACAAGGGATCCTGGGATGTTGTGCACACAGAGCTGTTCCCTCAAAGGGAAGGACATGTAACTTGTTAAACCCCCAGAAGACGAGGCGTGGACCTGATGCTTAGCCTGGTAGCTATGTGGTGGAGACCTACACCGAGTCTCCCCCAGACCCTTATCAGAAGCCTGTTTTCTCAGTGGATCTATAGAACCTGTCCTTATGGAAGGTGTCACATGTACTTTAAAAAGATTTTTGATGCAGCCACATTTAATCTTTATCTAACCTACTTTGTTCCTCGAGATTTATGTATGCTTTAGCGTTCACACAGGATTGAATCAATTATGACCAAATTGTGCTGTGCTTAAATATGCCTAAAATAAACCACTCGGGGTCAGAAGAAACAACAGACAAGGGAAGGCTGTTTTCATAGCTACCTGCCCAGTGCAAAGGCAAAGAAAGCAAAAGAGCTGATATTGGAAAGTGGGTTGCCCATGACATCGTCCAGATTTCTACATCCAAAGTGAAGAGGAAGATCAAGTGGAGATAATTCAGCCCATCAAAACAGACAGACAGACAGACTACTCTGAAACAGATTCACTCGTGATAGCGGCCTATAAGAGGTGGTGGAACTTGTGGAATAGCCCAGGACAATGGGTAGCAAGTTCTGGGCTGTGTCTTAGCCACCAGAGGTCACCCTTACCATGCAGCCTTTGGATCAGATGATTAGGACCCAGGCTACAGGTCAATAAGGCCTGAGTGAGGTACTTATTGCATACAGAAAGGATGGCTGAGCTGTGGTTAAGGGATGGGGTCAGTTGCCGGCAGATTCTTACTTGAGAAACTCCTGTCTGTGTTCCCTGTTGGCTAGTCAGTTTTCATGTGCACCATGCTGATGCTGCTTACTGGGGTGGCTAGGGGAAGAGTGGAGGATGCACTGGGGGTACTCCTTCCTCACTGTGCCCACCCTGAAGACAACACGGAATTCTTTCTGTCTCTCCAGACTCAAGTCCTAGTAATGATTCAGGAGTGATGACCACGTGGGTACTGGGTACTGTTGTGGGTAGCGCTTCCAGGCACTGTCTAGCGTAAGCGTCCATGTTCCTGCTTTCAGTGTCTGATCCTGAGCCTCCTTTCTTTGCCTGTCTGCGGGTTCTGTAGCCATTTAGCACAGCTGGTACCCACACTGTTCTGCAGATGTAACTGACTCTCTGGTGGTGGGGAGTATTTCAGCAGGTCCCTTTTGCTCTTTGAATACAGTCGTCCTGGTTTGTTCTGTTCAAACTAATGTGGCGCCAGCCAAAGTCAAAACTTACTTATTCTCTGAGGGAATCTTGGGGTTTTATTTGAGTCATAATTGTCAAGGGAGAGTGGGACCTTTTTAATATGCATGTGTCAATTTTTACATTACTCTGAGCAAATATCTGAAAGAAGCATCTTGGGTGAGAAAGATTTGTTTGGCTAATGCTTTGAGGGGGACTGTCTGTCCATCACGACTGAGAGAGCACTGGGTAGAGATCATGGGCAGATTGGGAAGCAGAGAGATGAATGCAGGTAATCAGAAGGCTTTCTACTTCCTCCTTGTTTATTCAGCTGGGACCCCAGTCCATGAGATGGTGTTTTCTGTGGTGGTTTGAAAGAAAACAGGCCCCAAAGGGAGAGGCACTATAAGGAAGTGTGGTTTTGTTGGAATAGGTGTGGCCTCATTGGAGTACGTGTATCACTGTGGAGGTGGTCTTTGAGGTCCCACATATGCTCAAGCCCAGTGTCTCACTTCACTTCCTGTTGTCTGTGCAAGTCGTAGAATTTTCCAGCATCGTGTCTGCCTGCTTGCCACCATGCTCCCAGCCACCATGTTCCCAGTTATCATGCTCCCTGCCATGATGATCATGGACTAAACTTCTGAACTGTAAGCTGCCACCTCAATTAAAAATTTTCTTTATAAGAATTGGCATAGTCATGGTGTCTCTTCACAGCAATAGAAATCCTAATCCTAACCTAAATTTAAATGTAGATACCATCTACATTTAAAGTAAATAAAATAAATTAAATAAAATCTCCCTGGAAAAGCCCCATAGACACACCCAGGCATGCCTCATTGATGCCTAGGGCCTTCTTTGGCCAACCAAGTTAGTGGTGGAAATTAACTTTTGGGATAAGACTGAAGTCTGGGTAGAATATGCTTTGGGAAGAGTTTGTTGATAAAGGCTCTAATAGAGAGCAGAACTAGAAAATTCCTGTAGAGGGCTTACATTATCGGTACTTGTCAGGGCCCATAGGAGCAGAATATGAGACTTAAACAACTCAGATGCCCCTTCCAGGTCTCAGGTCTCAGGACTGCCTGTCTTGCTCTTGAGCTAAACCCATGGTGTGATTTTAGTGCATGACCCAGGAAGACTGGGTCTTCTGCTCAGTTACACTTCACCTATTCCTGCCATACATGATTGTGAGTCTTCAGTCATAATTTCCTCAACCACATTGGGTCTAGAAACAAGACTGAAACGCAGCTTTCTCAGCAATCCTGAGCACTCCCTGAGATAAGGCTAGCTCCCCCCTTGAGAGGTGAGTCCTGGATTGATGTTTATGAAATGCTGACCACAGTATCCGGCACATGGTAGCCATGGGTGTGCTCTTAGCGTTTATTAAAATAAATTAAAAATTAATAAATAATGAGTTTCCTAGGGCTGTGATATTGTGCTGTGGGAGCTACTTCTGCTCCTTCAGCCAATAGTCTTTAAGATACCAGCCCACTTGGGTGTGGTCTCTTTTGTTTTAAAAGGCAGTGATAGCCGTGTGCTCGCTCTCTTGCTTCTGGCTCTGCTTCTGGTTGTTAGGGCTTTTAGACTTCGTTCCTGATCGCGCAGAGGGCTGTTGTCTGGGACGGTGATCTGTAAGTTTTTCTCCCTTTAAATAAATAACCCTTTTATTAATCATAATTCCAAACTGGTGTGGGATTGTTTTGTGACTTATGCCTTCAATATTGAGTCCAAGGTGAATCACCAGATCCTCTCTAGAGGTCAAGAAATTCTTGCTAACCATATAAAAAAGCTTAAAAGAAGTGTTACCTAATGGGATGCACTGCTGAGCAGGTGCACACGGGAAATGGAATCTTTATTTTGGGACACCAGCTAAACATAGGCTATTATTTATATCACCTTTTCCTACTCTTCACTTAGGCTACAACTAAGATTAAAATAAAATTAAAAATAATACTGAAATAAATTAGTGCAAAATAAGATATAATCACATGTAGTTTATATAAGAAATAATTATAGATAGTATGTTTATACCTATTAATTTTAAGTTAAGTGCTTTTTAAATTATCAGTAATTACAATAAGTCATCAAAAATTAAGTCATTCATTATATGAGCATGAGTGATGGCTCAGTCAGTAAAGGCTCTTGCTATGCAAGCTTGAGGACCTGAGTTTGAGCCCCCGAATCTATATAAAGGTGGAAGGAGAGGACAGACTCTGTCTTAGTTAGGATTTCTATTACGACAACGAAACACTGTGATCATAGGGCAAGTTGGGGAGGAAAGGGTTTATTCAGCTTACACTTCCACATCACTGTTCATTATTGAAGGAGATCAGGACAGGAACTCAAAGAGGGTCAGATCCTGGAGGCTGGAGCAGATGCAGAGGCCATGGAGGAGAGCTGCTTACTGACTTGCTTCTCATGGCTTTCTCAGCTTGCTTTCTTATAGAACCCAGGACCACCAGCCCTGGGATGGCATCACCTTCCATGAACTGCCCCTCCCCCATTGATGACTAGTTGAGAAAATGCCTTACAGCTGGATCTCATGGAGGCATTTGCTTAACTGAGGCTCCTTCCTCTCAGATGACCCTCACTTGTGTCAAGTTGACACACAAAACCAGATTGTGCAGACTCCACAAAGTAGTCTTGGGCCCTCTATATATGTAGCATGCCAAAAATGCATGGCACAAAAGCATCCCTACACATACACACACACACACACACACACACACACACACACACACACACGCACGCGCGCGCGCACATGCACACATACACATACTAATGATAACAACAAATAATTGAAAATTAAACCATTATAAAACACTGAAGCAATTCTTCAGTGGCTAACAAGTCACATAAGCTCTAACAGTGCCTTTATTTTAAGTATCATTGAGACAGG